GCAGCCTCCCCAGGCCCACCTGAAGGGAGAAGCCCCACTACCATGAGCCCCCCCAGAACCTTCCTGCTCTGTAGAACAAGCTAGCCAAGCAGCCAAGCAGAAGAGCAACATAAGAGCTCACTCCTGGCTGGGGCTGGAGCAACAGCACAGCGGGGAGGGCGTTTGCCTTGCACGTGGCCGACCCAGGTTCGATTCCCAGCATCCCATATGGTCCCCTGAGCACCACCAGGAGTAATTCCTGAGTGCAGAGCCAGGAGTAACCTCTGTGCATCGCCAGGTGTGACCCAAAAAGCCAAAAAAAAAAAAAAAGATCTCACTCCTGGCTCTGCACTCAGGGATCACTCCTGGCGGTGCTGGGGGACCCTATGGGGTGGGGGGTGGGGGGATCGCAGAGGATCTCACCAGGGCTGAGGGATGTTTTCAGAAAGTCTCAGAGGGCCTAACAGTTCAATGGGCGGGAGCACATGCTTCGCCTGCAGGCTTGTGTCTGATCCCCCAAATCACAGTGATGTTCTCCCACACCCCAGCTCCCCAGCACCGAGCCGGGAGTGGCCACGGAGCACTCCCCAAACCAAGCGACGTCTAGAAGCATCAGAATTGGGGCAAGCAGAGAGAATACACAGGAGGGAAGGCACCTGCCTCGCACGCGGCGGATCCCACCCCATACGCTTCCCCCGGAGCCAGCCCCGCCTGCAGGGACCCTAAGCAGGAGCCCGGGACGGCGCCTGGGCACCCCGGGGTGACCCCCGCCCCCCCCCCGCCCCCCCAGCATGCGAGTGAGGGTTGGGACTCGGGGGTGGGGCTGACGTGGGGCCGCCCCGGCCGAACACTCCTCTCACTCCATCCACAGCCCCCAAACTGCCGGGACGGTCCTCGTCGGCGGGGCCGGGCTCCGAACGCGGGGGTGGGGGGTGGGGGGCGGCCTCTGCCCGGGGCGAGCGTCGGGGACCACCGCTCGCACCTGCCCCGTCCCCGAAGGCGCCCGGGACGCCGCGGAGTGACCGGGTCAGCGGCCGCCCCGGCCCGGCGGGACCCCCCGGCGCCCCCCACGCTCACCTGCGGCCCGTCCCTGGGGGCGCGGCGCCGGGCTCCGGCTGCGAGTGACCGTCGCGGGCGTGGCTGAGGTGACGGCCGCGCCCGCCGGGCCTCCCCGGGGGGCCCCCTTCGCTCCCACACGCGGCGGGCCCAGGGGCGCGCGGGGCCAGGGTCGCCAGGCCTCGACCCCCGGCCGCGCCCGGCCGCGCCCTCCCGGCGGTTGGCGGGGCCCGAGCCCGCGCCTGGGCACCTGAGGGGGAGCCCGGGGCCGCGCGCGCGGGGCGGAGTCCCCCACCCGGGAGCGACTCCGGGGAGGGGAGGGGGAGCGGGTTCCCATGGCAACCGGCGGCGGGCTGCTGCGCCTGCGCCGCCGCGCTGAGGCTGCTGGGAAGTGTGGTTTCCGGGCCGGCCGCGGGGCCCGAGGGCGGCCGCAAGATGGCGCCCGCGCGTCGCGGTGGCCCCGGGCTGCCCTCAGCCCGCAGGCGACAGTTTGTCCCCCGCGGTCGCGGCCCTCCGGCGTCCGGGCGACCCGGGACGGGTTTGAGAACCCGCCCTGACGAGCCGGGGGCGGCGGACGGAGAAAGCGCTGGAGCTGCGAGCTGACCCTGGGGGTCCCGCCGGCCGAGGCCACGAGGGTCTCGGGTCTCGTGGCAGGTGGGGGCTGAAGTGGGCGGCGGCCCCCAGCGGGGCTCGGAGACCTCGGGGTGCCCACTCGAGCGTCTCCCTGGGGATCTGAATTTCGCCGTCCGCCCCGGGCCTCAGTTTCCCTCTGGCCCCGGGAGTGGTCAGCGGCCACCGTGGCGGGGGGGTGGGGGGCGTCGGGACCCCACTCGGGTCTGGGAAGGAAACCAGGCAGCGAGGTTCCGGATCCAAACTCGGCTGTGCCGGGCGGGGTCATTGCGGGCCGGACCCCGCCCCGCCCGGGTTTGAGCCCAGCATCGCCCCGAGCAGCCCCAGAGTTTCCGCGGGTGTCCAGCAGAAACAGAAATAATAATCACTAGTCCATAGCTATAAAGGCGCCCTACCTTTTTTTGGCCTTTTTTCCGCAGGTGCAGATCGAGGGCCCCCAGGTTTGGAGCAAAAGGCGTCATGGGCCCGAGCTGGCCCGGGGAAACGGGCACCCCGTAAGTAACGGGGGGTTCGCAGAAGAGTGAGGGGGCTGAGGGGCCACAGGACCCCGGACAAAGGCTGCCTGTGAAGGCCCGAGGGCTGGAGAGGAGGAGACAGACTTGGCATTTTCTCTCTTTTATTTATTTATTTATTTTTGCTTTTTGGGTCACACCTGGTGATGCACAGGGGTTACTCCTGGCGGTGCTCGGGGGACCATATGGGATGCTGGGAATAGAATCCGGGTCGGCTGCGTGCAAGGCAAACACCCTCCCTGCTGTGCTATCGCTCCCTCCCCAGGCTCCTTTTCAATTGGTGTGAGTTTTGTAGATACAGATACCTGCACTGTCGCACTGTCCTCCCATTGTTCGTCAATTTGCTCAAGCGGGTACCAGGACCGTCTCCATTGTGGAACTTGTTGTAACTGTTTTTGGCATATCAGTACGTCACGGGGAGCTTGCCAAGCTCTGCTGTGCAGGCGGGATGCTCTCGGTAGCTTGCTGGGCTCTCCGAGAGGGATGGTGGAATCGAACTCAGGTCAGCCGCGGGCAAGGGCAAACGCCCTACCTGCTGTGCTATAGCTCCAGCCCCTCCCAACCCTCACTTCTATTATTATTATTTTTATTTTGCTTTTTTTTGGGGGGGGGCAGAGGTTACACCCAGCGACGCACAGGGGTTACTCTGGCTTATGCACTCAGGAATCACTCCTGGAGGTGCTCGGGGAACCTCATGGGATGCCGGGAACCAAACCCGCGTTGGCTGTGTGCAAGGCAAATGCCCCACCCGCTGTGCTATCACTCCAGCCCCACCATTTATCATTTTTATTTTTTTTAATGGGGGGTGCTTAGGTGGTCTGAATGGTGCCCTTCTGGTATTTTTGGGGGGGGGCTTTGAGGTCTGGGGCCACACCCCGCGTTGCTCAGGGCTTACTCCCAGCTCTGTGCTCACTCCTGATCACATGTGGTACTGGAGGTCAAACCCTCTGTACTGTATATCTCAGGTTCTTTTTTTGCGGTTTCAGGCCACACTCAACAGTGCTCAGAGATGACGCCTGTCTCTAAGCTCGGAAGTCATTCCACCAGTGCTCTGGGGCACATATGCAGAGCTCCGGGTCCCAGCTGTGGTCAGACGCATGTTGGCCAAGTGCCTTAACTCCTGTATCTCTCTCTGGCCCGCCCTGGTGATGTTTAGCCAGCTGGGCAGGCGGCTCAACATGAAGTGACAAGGAGAGGGTGCGCCCTGGACTGGCATGCCAGGGGCCTCCGGGCCACACCTGTCATGTTCAGGGTCCATGTGCTACTAGGGGTCAGGTTAGACGTGGCCCCACATATGCATCTGCCTGAACCCCTGTTCTATCTCTCCAGCCCCTACAACCAGCTCTTTATCATCTGCATTTTGGTGTAGGTTGCCATGCGTGTGTATGTGTGTCCTGCCTCAGATGTGTTTCTGAGTCTCTGCACTCTGTCCCCCCACAACCCGAGTTCATGACTTCCCACACTGCATGGGCAGTGGAGGGCGGGGCCAGCCGGTGCCTCCCTCCAACCATAGGCCCAGTGTCAGGTGGCAGATTTTGGAAAGGGCAGTCTGGGTGGGGGTCCTGACTGGCAGGAGGAGAGTTGGAGGTTACAGAGTTTTCTGAGCAAGGAACCCGACCAAGTGGATCAAGAATCAAAACTAGGGCCAGGGGCTGGAGCAATAGCACAGCGGGTAGGGCGTTTGCCTTGCACGCGGCAGACCCTGGTTCAATTCCCAGCATGCCATATGGTCCCCTGAGTACCGCCAGGGGTAATTCCTGAGTGCAGAGCCAGGAGGAACCCCTGTGCATCGCAGGGTGTGACCCAAAAAGCAAAAAAACCAAACAAACACACAAAAAAAACAACTAGGGCCAGCCAGGGCTGGAGAGATAGTACAGCAGGTCGGGCACTTGCCTGCCCTGAGGCTGACCTCGGTTTGATTCCCAGCATCCCAAATGGTCCCCTGAGTAATGCCAGGAGTGATCTGATCCCTGAATCCAGAACCAGGAGTTAGTCCTGAATATAGCCAGGTGTGGCCCCCAAATCAAAAACCAAAACCAGCAACAAAACTAGGACAGCACAGTGGGTCGGGCACCTGCCTTGCACATGGCTGACCCCAGTTCTATCCCTCGATACCTCATCTGATCCTTGGAGCCATGCCAGGCGTCATCCCTGAGCACAGAGCCAGGAGGAAGCCTGAGCACCACAGGGTGTGACCCAGTCCCCTCCCCTGGAAGGATCAGAACTAGCCTCTCTCCCTGCCCCATGACCCTCCTGCCCCATCAGACCAGCGTCAGCGGAGAGTCCTGCAGCGCAGGCAGAGGCTGAGTTCTAGGACCGAGGGGGGCGGGGCGCTTTTTGGGCAGGGCCTGATTCATTTCTTTGTGTCAGAGAAAGAAGGGGGCCTGAAGGCCCAGCCCTGCCCATTCCCCCGGGACCAGCATTCATTCTTCCAACTGGCCCGGAAAACAGCTTGACCTGAGGGGGCCTGTTTTGAGGGAAGGAACTGAGGACCCTGCCCTCCACCCCCAATCTGGGGGACCAGAGACCGAGACAGGCCCAGTCCTGCTCCGGAAGAGGCCCAGGGCGGCGGGGGAGGCACCCAGGCATCACCTCCCTTGGAGGAAAGGCCTGGGAACGAGAGGAAAGTTCTCGGGACCCAAAGTGGGCTCAGAGCCAGCGCCACGATACCTGTCAGCAGGCACTGGGGGAATGAGGGGACTGGGGGCTGGTTCCAGGGGCTGAACGTACCCCCCCCGAACCACCCGGATGGATAGATGACTTTATTATAAAATTGAAAATAATGTGAAAATGCTTTTTATTTCTTAAGTACAAAGCTAGAACACGAATAAACCGTGAGATCTGGAAAAGTCGTGAAGGCCAGAAAACTGGCCTGGAGCTTCTGACCCATGACAGAGCACGGAGTGGGGCACAGCAGCAGAAGACAGCAGTGGGGTGCAGAGCGGAAAGGGGCCAGCAAGGAGGCTGAGTGCAGGCTCCTCTCCCCTTGTGGGGGTGCCCCCTCCACACGCGCGGAGAGACTTAGGGAGCAGCAAGAATGAAGCGAGGGTGTCACTGTCCCTAGCCTCTTCTTTTTCTTTTTGGGTCACACCCGGCGATGCTCAGGGGTTACTCCTGGCTCTGCACTCAGGAATCAATCCTGGTGGTGCTGGGGAACCCTATGGGATGTCGGGGATCGAACCCGGGTTGGCCGTGTGCAAGGCAAACGCCCTCCCCGCTAGACTATGGCGCTGGCCCCTGTCCCAGGCTCTTAGTCCTTTGCATGTCCCCTTCCCAGAGCAGTCTGGAGCCTGGCATGGAGGCACAGGCCTGAGGTTTAAGGCTGGAGGAGGTGAGGCTGTAGTGTTGGGGTGTCCTGGGGACCTGCCAGAGGGGGGCAGAGGCCTGGAGGGCTCAGGCCTCATCGTCCTCCCCGCTGCCCTCGACGCTGGCCTGTCTCACCACCTTCCGGGCCCGGGCCGGGGAGCAGCCAGCCTGTCCCTGCCCCTGCTCCTGGAAGGCCTGACTTCGGCTGGCCACCAGGGCGGCGTTGTTGAGGGCGACCACGGACTGGCGGGTCATCCGGGCAGGCCAGGGCTCCTTGCGCGCCCGCCCCTGGTCCCTGGCCTTGGAGGGTGCCGGGCTCCCATTCGAAGACTCACTTGAGGAGAAGACCTGGAGGGCAGAGGACAAGAGTCAGTGGGCAGGTGTGGATGGACCTGGGAACCCGCCCGCCTGCAGCTGCCTTCCTGTCCCTAGTCCCCTTTGCCTTAACGCAGCGGGTGCCACGGGCCACACCCTGCTCTTAGGGGCACCTACACCCGCCACCTCCTCCAGGAAGCCTCTCGAGTGGTCCAAGCCCCGGGAACCATGCTCAGGCCAGCAGCTGGGGGTGTGGCTCTGCCAGGGGAGGGGGCCGTGGTTCCTATGCTGGCAGCCCTGTTTACTGTGTTTTGGGGGGTGGGCTGGGGTCACACCTAGTGGTGCTCAGGGGTGTCTCCTGGTTCTCAGGGATCACTCCTGGCGGGGCTGGGGGGACCCTGTTTTGTTCTGGGATGCCAGGTAGGCACCTTCCCTGCTGTGCTCTCGCCGGAACCAGCTCCTCAGGCCTCGGCCAGGGGGGCGCCCCAGGGCCCCGCCTACCTCCGGCAGGTCCTCCGCCCGGGGGGTGCTCTCCAGCTCCGCGGGGGGCTCCAGGAGGCTGATGGACCTCATGATCCCACGCAAGCTGATGCGGGGCCGAGACCCCGGCTCTTGGCAGGGGGCCACCTGGCCCTCGGACGGCCCAGTCCCCGCCGCCTCCCCGCTGCTCTCCGGTTCTGGCGGGAGAGGTGGTAAGACGGTGGTGAGCTCCGGGCCCGGGGGCTGCTCCAGGGGGGCCCCACACGCCTTCTGCTCCCAGACGTGACTCTGCCGGCTGTGAAGAAGGGGGCCCGGGTCAGCCGGGCAGGGCGGGCGACCCGGCCCCACCCCACCCGCCCGCAGCCCACTCGTGCCTGGCGGTCAGGATGCCCTGGTAGGTGTGCAGCTGGCGCAGGAAGCCGGGGTTGGGGCGCGCGGCGGGTCGCAGCTCCTGCACGTGGCGCAGCGCCTGCTCCAGGCCCCAGCCGTACTGCTTCATGGCGTAGGCCACCACGGTGGCCGCCGAGCGGCTCACGCCCATCTTGCAGTGCACGAGCACCCGCGTGCCCTGCGCCCTGTGTAGGGGGCACAGACGGGCGAGCGTGAGGTCGAGGGGGCCGCCCTGGCGGGCGGGGGCAGGGGCAGGGGCAGGGCCGCACCTGGCGGCCTCCACGAATCGGTGTGTCTCCTTCCAGTGCGGCAGCAGCTGCGCCGACTCCTCGTCCCACAGCCGCACGTTGTGGTAGGTGAAGCGCTCGGGGAAGAAGTTGTCGATCTCGCGGGCCATGTTCAGGATGTGACTGACCCTGGGGCGCGGCGCCAGAGCCTCCGTTCGGATTTGGCGCCCGCGACCGCTGGGGGCTCCCTTCCCCACGTCCCCACCCCCCAGGGCCACCGTCCAGCCTCGTCTGGGGGGAGGCCCAGCGCCCCCGGAGAGCGCAGCCGATGACCGGCCACAGCCGGCCTGCACCGAGGACCGTGGAACCCCACCTGTTCCTCTGCAGCTCCTCCAGGTTGGCTGCGTTCCACTCGGAGCCCTGTGGGCGCGGGGAACCATTAGGGGTGCTTGCCTGCACGGGCGCGCGCACCCCGCACCCACGGCCCGCAGCTCACCAGGTAGAGGTGCGGGAAAATGAGCGAGGCCCGGTCCTGCTGGGCCATGAGCAGCAGCATCTGGTTGTCGATGAAGTCCCGGTACTGCTGCAGCGGGCAGCCCAGGCGCTGCTCCAGGGTCTGGCGGATCTGCAGACCCGGGGCGGTGGGGGGGGGGTCTCAGGGGCAGCTCATCTCCCGGGGACCCCAGAGCCAAGTCAGCCGGGCCCCTGCCCACCTCTTTTGAAGTGACGCTCTCCAGGTCGCTGGACTCCAGCACGGCCCACAGCCCGGCCCGGATCGCTTGCTCCATCCGCTCCTGCTCCGAAGCCCTGCGGGGCCAGCCCGTCAGCCAGCGTCCATCCCCCTCCTCCCTCTCCCTGCCCCCTGCCCCCACGGGCACTCACCCACCGGGCTCAGCACTCGGGGGCCGCAGAGACTCCAGGTCCGCCATGGCCATCCACTCATTGAGACAGCCCTGCTCGGAGCTCAGTCTGTCCTGGTAGTGGCTGGCCCAGCTGAGGGCACTGCCGCCTGGCACCAGCCCGCTGCCCAGAGCTGCCTCACAGGCCTGGTGCAACACCTGGAGTGTGGCCCTGGGGACAGAGAGGCATGCTGGGGGTCACCCTGCGCTCTCTGCCACCCGCCACCCCCCGCCGAGCCTGCGGCCCTCACCACATGGTCTGGAGAGAGATGGGCTTGAAGATCCGGCTCTGTCCGCCAGACGTCACGCTGAAGCCACTGTGGGGCACCAGGGGGTGGTGGGACCCCAGGCCAGGTCTGGACAGCCCCAGGGGCCACCCCAGCCCCTCAGGACTCAGAGTATGGCCAGGTCACTGGGCTTCCCCAGAAACTCCATGTCCCGAGCCGGTGTGTGTGTGTGTGTGGGGGGGAGGGCAGAGGGGTTAAGGCATGTGCTCAGGGTCTCCCGGCAACTCTGAGTAGCAGAGGCGGCCCGCTCCGCCCCCCGCCCTGCGCCCTGGCCCCCCTTCTTCCCTTCTCCCGTCTCACCCGTCTCCATCCAGGTACACCTGGGTGTCACTCCAGAGAGGTAAGACCAGGCCCAGAGTGCAGCTAAGGGAGCTGGCGGGGACAGAGGACTTGCTGTTCTCCCTCCTCACTCCCTCCTGGGACCTGCACCCCTTCTACCTGCCAGGGGGGAGTGTGCCCCAGGATCCCCACATCTCTTCCCCTACCTGTCGTGGGGGGCCACGCCCAGGACCCCCCGCACCCCTTCCGCCGCTGTGGGGGGGACTGCACCCCAGTTCCCTCCACCCCCTCTCCTACCTGCTGTGGGGGAAGTCGACCCCCAGGAGGACTGTCTCGTCTTGGCTCAGGAGGTCTCGGGTGGAGACCACCAGTAGGTAGCGGATCCGGGGAGGCCGCGCGGCCTCCAGCTGGGCAGCCTGGAGGGAGGAGCCGGGCTCACAAGATCCAGGGCCAGGAGCACCTGCGCCCACCCGGGGCCCCTGCCCCCCCGCCCTCATTTCCCAGGGCCCCCTCCCCCCGAACCCGTGCCCTCAGCTCCCAGGGTCCCGCTGCCCCCCGCCCCCGCTGCGCTCTCAGCTTCCATCCCCACTCCGGGTGCCAGGTCAGAGCTTCCAGTTGGGCCGACTTTGACTCGGGCGGGGATTTCCTGCCAACAAAGCTAACAAAGCCAAGAGCCTTGTTCCTGGTAGGAGAAGTTGGGCGGGGAGGGCGCAGAGTGGAGAGTCGAGGCTCTGGCTGCCTCGGGAGGAGTCCCGAAGCCCCTCTCACACCTGCCCGTACCGGTTGCCACCATTTCCTCCAGGAAATGGAGGGCCAGGTCGCTGCTGTCCCAGGACACTGCTGACGTGTCCCCACACCCCTGCAGGGACCCCAGGCATCCACCCTGTGTGCAGGGAGGCCAGGCAGGGTCCGCCAGAACCATGTTGGGCCCCAAGCGGGGAGCAGGGCCCTCTGCACCTCCCAGCCCGCACCCTGGCCGGTCCCCACCCCGGGGCTGTCCGGGGCCTCACCAGGCGGATGTCGTCCTGCGGCCTCAGCAGCCCCACCATGAGGTGCAGGTGGCGACTCTGCTCCTGTTTCTGGACACTCTGATCACAGTGCTCGGTGTCGACCTGGTCCCCAATGTCAGTCTGGTCCCCAAGGGGCTGCTCCTCCCCCAAGGGCTCCCCTGGGGCTTCAGGGCTGCCCTCAGCAGCCTCTCCATCGCCCCCTCCATCGCCCCCTCCATCGTCCCCTCCGTCGTCATGCAGTCTGAGGAGTGTCCCGTGGAGCACGGCAAAGCTCTGTCTGGCAGGGCAAGGACACCGTTAGCCCCCCACCACACACCCCGCCGCCCCCCCCCCCCATGGACACTGAGCCAGCCAGGCTGGTGTGGCCAGTCACGGGAGTCTGTGGCCTGGGAACATGCCTTTCTACCCAGTTCCTGGGGGGGGGGGGGGTGCGGCCATCAGGCGGCCCACCTGTCTGAGGAGGTAGGAGTGGAAAATTAAGTGGGGAGCCCTGGTCTGAGCGAGGGCTTAGGAAGGTGGGAAAAGCTGCCCGTGACCCTGCGACAGCGCCCCACATATTCAGAAGTTGGTCTGTGTCCCCAGGGCAGAGGCCTGGCCTGGCACTGGACAGGAGTTGGGAGGGGCTGGTGCTCACCGTCGCTGGAGTCGGCCTCTCTGCCCGGCTGCCCGGCTCTGCGGAAAGCGTCCCCCAGGGCAGAGTGAGCAGGGAACCGGCCCCGCTCCTCCCTGGGCTGGCTACGTGTGCGGGTGGTGGTCACCCCCCAAACCGCAGACAGTGGGACTGGGGGAGGGGAAATCCTCTCCCACCCCCATCCTCTCCCGGCGCGGAGGCTCTGCGAGAACCCGGGGCTCGCGTCCAGGTAGGGCAGCGGGGATGCGGTGGGCGGGGGCTGGAGGTGTCTGCCGAGTTGGCCCAGATTGGATCCGGAAGGGGCGCGGGGCACTGGGGTCCCCTGAGCCTCGGACAGTCCTCTCGGGCCCCGCGGACGCAGCCCCCGCCCCGCACGCCCCCCGCTCGGGCGGAGGCTGCTCGTGAGCGAGACTCGCTCCCCGGGGCCCAGCGGGCAGCCAACTGCGTGGGCAGGACCACGGCAAAGCCGGACTCACCGAGGGCCCCACGGGCGTGGAGCGGCCGCTGGTCGGGGGCGAGCGGCTCACGGTGACCAGGGCCATGGGACCAGACCGGGGCGGGGGGCTGGGGGGCGCCCGGCTCGGCAGTGGGCACAGCGCCCTCCCACTGCCCCACGCACCGTCCCGGCCCCGAAAGAAGACCAGGAAGGAGAGCGCGGGGCGGCCAGGGCCTGGCACCTCCTCGGGGACGGCCCTTAAAGGGCCAGACTCGCGTCCAGCCGGGCTGCCGAGCCGGAGCCCCGCGCCGCGCCCCGCCCTTCGCGGCTCCTCCGCTCGCCCCGCCCCCGCACGCCTGGGGGCGGGGCCGGGGGCGGGGCGCAGGTGCGGGCCGGCCGAGGCCAGAGTCCCGCTGTGGACAGCCCTCACCCTGGGCTTCGCTGCCAACTCCCAGGGAGTGCCCCGACCCGGCTCTCCCGGCCTCGCCCTCCCTGGGACACCTGCTGTTCCGGGCAGAGGCAGCAGCGAGGACGACACAGGTGTGGGAACGGGGTGGGACAGTGGTGCATGGTAGGGGACCCCGCAAGTTATTGTCCTTGCAGGCTGGCCTTTGGTTCCCACGGGGAGTGGCAGAAATCGCCTGCATGACATCACAGGGAACCCTCGGCACCCCAGAAGGCAAGGGCAGGGCTGAGGCTGGGCAGAGGGAAGCGACCTGTCCAAAGTCCCGCTGCAGTCGGAGCGGGAACCCAGGCCCGGCGCGCTGGGCTCACCCCTCCTGGCCAGCAGCACCCGAGGCCAGGCCAGGTGGCAGGAGGAAGCTGGGACTCCAGCTGCGGCTCAGGGCCCGGAAGTTGATGGGAAGGGCGCGACCTGCGGTAACACATTTTACCCTCCCAACAGGGAGGGCTGGGATGGGGTGGGGTGGGGGTCCCCCTTCACAGAGAGGCTAAGGGCTGAGGCATCATCGCCCACGGCCCGGCGCCCCATGGAGCAGACGGCCTGCTGCTGAAGGTCTTTTATTTCCATCTTCGTCTCCACCGCAAGCCCGTCCTGGGCTCCAGGCCCCAAATTCCGCCGCAGTTTTATAAATAAATAAGTTACAAAGGCGAAAGGTGGGGTTACTGGGTGGCCTTCCCCAGGGCCGCTGCCCGGTGCTCAGTGCTCCGTGAGCGACAACCGCAGGATTCGCTGTAAGTCCTCCTCTTCCTGCTGCCCCCGCCGCTCCCGCTCCTCCTGCTCCCGAGAAGACAACTCCAGGGCCAGGCGAAGCTGCTCCTCGAAGCTTGGGGGCGCCGGGGCTGGAGGCGTCCTCTGGGGGGACCCCGGGGCCCTGGGCTCTGTGGACATTCGCAGGCTTTCCTGGAGGGCCCTTCCAGGTGGGACCGAGGGAGAAAGCAGACAGGTGAGGCGGGGCAGGGAGACAGGTGAGGAGGAGGAGGTGCCCCCCCACCCCCGGCCACTCCCCACCACTCAGGCTGAGGCCCTGGAAGTGGCGGCCCCGGCAGGGCTGGCCGGAAGCAGAGGGTCTCACCGCTCCAGCTGCAGCTGCTCCTCGTACGCCGCCGCGGGCCGCGGTGCTGGGTGGGTGCCGGGCCGGGTGTTGGTCAGTGCCTCCCAGACGGTCACCTGTGGCAGTCAGACCGTCACCTCGGCCGTCCCCGGCAGCGGGGGTCCGGGCCGGCCCGCCCCGCGGCCCACCTGCTCGGCCTCCGTGCCCGCCTCGAGCAGGCTCTGCTGGATGGCGAACTGCAGCAGGTCGTCGTCCTCGTCCCTCAGGGGCTCACTGCGCCCCGCGCCCAGCACACTGTACCCCTCGGGCACCTCGAACACGGCGGGGTCCACCTCGCAGGGGAACGGGCTCCCCGCGCCTGGCAGAGGGGCCCGGCCTCAGCTGTGGCCCCGCGGGTGGGCCCGGCCGCCCCCCCCCTCCGGGTTACCTGTGGGCGCAGAGCTGGCCGGCGTGCACACGGAGCTCAGCGGCTCGTCGCAGCCACACAGGTTGCTGAAGGTGATGCGCGCATTGAGCACGTGGAAAAGGGGAATCTCTGTGGGGGGTGGCCTTGCCTGAGTGACCCTGCACCTGCACCCCCCGACACCCCTGCAGGCAGCCCCCCCCCCAGGCAAGGGTCCCTGGCCACCCTCACCGATCTTGACTGGGAAGCCGGGTGGGAGGCGCAGCGTGATGAAGTCGCGCAGCTTGGCAAAGTGGGCGTTGCTGATGGCCATGAGGTCGATGATGGGCGTCACCTGGTCCCCCAGGGAGAGCGGGTGCTCCTCACTCAGCCACAGCGTGGCCTTGAACCTGCCCCCATGAGCATCGAGGACCCCTGGTGAGGCCACCCCACCCCAGACACTGGTGTCCAACACCACCTGGGAGCAAATCCTAGTCTGCCCACTGGCTGAGTCTACACAAGGTCAAGGGCCGGGGCGTGCCCACAGGAAGCCTAATAGAAGCATGCATCAGACCTGGGCCAGGGCTAGGCAGCACATCTTATCTCTGAGGAGAAGATGTTTCCTTGGGCCCCAAAGCAGGAGGTAGCAGAAATGGAGGCCCTTCCCTCTCGGCCACAAGCTGGCCCCCAGGAGACAGTAGACTCAACAGAATACCATCTGTGGGAATAGCTGCCATCCGTCCCTCTATCCATATATCCATCCATCCATTCACCCATCAATCCATCCATATAGCCACGCATCCACACAGACACCCATCCCTCCCATCCATATACCCGTCCGTCCATTCACCCATCCATTCACATAGCCACCCATACACATAGACCTGTCCATCCACATATATACATAGTCTCCACCCAACGTCCATCCATCCACACATCCATTCACTTATCCAGCCACACATACATCCGTCATCTACCCATATATCCATCCATCCATCCATCCATCCATCCACCCATTCACCCACCCACCCACCCATCCATGCACATACCTATTCCTCCATTCATATATCCACCCATCCATTCCTCCACCCATCAATCCTTCCACAGAGTAACCCATCCACACACGCACACATATCCATCCATCCATATACCCATCCCTCCATCCACATAGTGGTCCATCCATGCAGACACCCATCCCTCTATTCATATACCCATCCATCCATATATACACATATCACCCATCCACATATCCATGACTTATCCAGCCACACATACAGACATCCATCATCCATCTATGTATCTACCCGCCCACACACCTATCCACCCACATACCTATCTATCCATATATCCACCTACCCATCCACCCAACCATCCACCCACCCACCCATCCACCCACCCATCCATCCATCCATCCATCCATCCATCCATCCATCCATCCATCCATCCACAGATCATTGTGGCTGAGTTGGCCAAGTGACCACCCTTGGGACAACCCCAGGGTAGGTGCCAAGGTCAGATACGGCTGACCTGCTCTTATCCCGGGGAGTCGAGCCTAGTGGGCAGTGGGCGGGCGCATGCCCCATCTCTGCTCGGTGCTCACCTCTGCACTTTGCGGGACATCTCGATGGGGCGGCCAATGTTGCGTGACTCCAGGCTGAAGTTGGGGTCGAAGTACTCATCCGGGGAAATGGCCGTGGGGTTGGTGGGGCTGGCTGCCTGCTGCACGGAAGCCTGGGGGGCCCCAGACAGGGCTGAGCGCCTGGCCCGAGCCTGCTTGGCCACACCCCCCAGCGCCCCCAGCCCTGGCTCACCCCATTGTGGGAGGAATGTTGCTGGGCGATGCCGAGGAAGGACTGGAACGGAGTCTTGCCCCCTAAGGAGAAGGCGAGCCCGTGAGTGCCCCTGCGCCCCTCCAGAGGGCGCCACCATGTGCGAGACGGGAGGGCCCCCAACCCATCCCAGCCATGCTGCCCAGGGCCCCAGGGGTGGGTGGGCTGCAGGCAGGCGCACCTGGGTTTACCTTTGCTCCTCGACTTGTCCTGGTCAGAGAGGTGCTCCGTGCGCGTGCGTGTCACCAGTTCCACATTGGTGGCGCTGTAGACCTGGGGAGCAGGGGCCACTGAGGGGGAGCTGGGGCCAGAGCCGGCTCCCACGTGTGGCCTTCCGAGATGGGACCGAGGTCACCCCTGTTCCCAGAACAGTGGGGGAGGCAGGCATGGACCCCAGAAGGCTCTGGCTAGGGGAAAAGGCTCATTTCCGTGTGGTGCCTGGGGTGGGGGGCCCCTGCTGGGGGAGAACCCCAGGCCCCACTGAGCTCCCGTGGCTGCCCTGGCTGTGTCCCGGGGGTCGGTGTCCCCTTGAGGGAAATGGAGAAGGAGCAGCGGGCCCAGGCCTTGTCTCCTGCCCCCAGCCCCCTCCACTAGGTTCTCCTACCTTGGCCTCATAGCCGCTAACGGTTTCCATCTTCTCCGACCGCCAGCCCCAGATACCACATTTGTTCCTGAAAAAGACCAAACGGGAGGCTGTGAAGAGCCACGTCCCCGACCCTGGACAAAGGCTTCACATCCCAAGAGCCTTCAAGTTAGGCTCCGGGAAGGACACCTGGACACTGAACACGCGGGCGAGAACTAGGGCTAAAAGGCCCGGAGGAATCAGCAGCGCCGTGGCCAGCTGTGGTCGCAGTGCCGGGGCTGGTTTTCAAATGTCCTTCGCAGGCCAGAGAGAGCACAGCAGGGCAGGCGCTTGCCTTGCGCACAGAGATCTGGGTTCAATTCCCGGTACCCCACTTGGTCCCGCGAGCCCTGCCAGTAGTGATCCCTAGGTAGATAGCTAGGCATAAGCTCTGAGCACTGGTGGGAATGGCCCCCAAAGGAAAAAAAAAAAGCAAGAAAAAAAGAAAAGAAAATCGTGATCCAAGTGATGTGCGAAGCATTTCCAATGAGGCGCCGCCGGGAGTAGGCTGGAGTCTGCGTGTGAGAGAAGTGGAGGATGTCATCAAATGCTGATGCTTACACACTGCCTCTCTTCTCTCAAACATGCTTAACATTGTTCACATTGAAGACTTAAAAGCGTATCTGATCTCATCGCTGTAGTGGGAGATTTCAGTGCTCTGCTCTCAGTCACGGATCACAGGCGGACAGACACCAACAAGGACACTCAGGGCCTGTATCCCCGCACAACCAGTCCGAAGAGACAGCCCGGGAACGCCACCACCAACAGAATACACATTCTTCTCAGGGACACATGGAGCATTCTCCAGGACAGGCCTGCTGTCGGCCACTACAGCACCCTCAGTCGAAGACAAAGGTCAGAAACCACACAAAGGGGCTTCTCCCATGGAGAGAAATCAGAAACAGAAGAAAAGATCTGGGGAACAGGCATGAGTGGGGGGTAACTACACGAAGCAGGCGGCGGGCAGATATGAAGATATGGAGGACAGAGCTTCAGTGAGCAGGAAGACACGACACTTCCAGGCCGGAGAGATGCTGTAGTGGGAAGGCGCTGGCCTTGCACACAGCTGAGCCGGTTTGATCCCCAGCACCCCGTAAATTCCCTGGAACTCTGCCCAGAGTCACCTGAGCACAGAGCCAGGAGTCAGCCCTGAGCACTGCTGGGTGTGGCCCAACCCCCACAGGGACCCACAAAAAGGTAACGGTATATCCAAGTGCATAGGAAACAGTTACAGCAGCTCTGAAAGGGAAAGTCATTGTAGTGAGTAACTCTATTAAGAAGGTCTTGGGGCCAGAGAGCAGGGGGAAGGGGCTCGCCCTTGCACGCAGCCAACTCTGATTCGGTCCCCAGCACCACACATGGTTCCCTGAGCACCGCCCCGAGAGATCTCTGAGCACGGAGCCAGGAGAAAGCCCTGAGCACGGCTGGCTGTGGCTAAAATCAAAACCAAGCCTAAAAGAAGATAGCAGGGCAGAGGCTGGGGAGATGGCTCGGCGGTCTGCAGCGCAGAAATGGCCCGTGGAGGGGCTGGAGCAGTAGCACAGCGGGGAGGGCGTTTGCCTTGCATGCGGCCGACCCGGGTTCAATTCCCAGCATCCCATATGGTCCCCCGAGCACCACCAGGAGTAGTTCCTGAGTGCAGAGCCAGGAGGAACCCCTGTGCATTGCTGGGTGTGACCCAAAAAGCAAAAAAAAAAAAAAAAAAGTGAAAATAGATTAAAAAAAGAAAAAACATGGGTCCAGCGTGATAGTACCGGCAGGTAGGGTGCTTGCCTTGCACGCAACCAACCTGGGTTTGACACCTGGCACCCCATGTGGTCCTCTGAGACCCGCAAGGAGTGATTCCTGAATGCAGAGCCAGGAGTAAGCCCTGAGCTCTGCTGTTGTGGCCCCAAAATTTGAAAAATAGAAAATAAAAAGCTACAGGGAAAATAAATGAAACCAAAACCTCAGGGGGAACGGGGGGATCAAAATTAACACACTTTGGGGGCTGGAGAGAGCACAGCAGGTAAGGCACTTGCCTTACACGCCTCCGACCTGGGTTCAATCCCTGGAGCAACACCAGGAGTAACTCCCGAGTGCAGAATCAGGAGGAAGACCTAAGCACTGGTGAGTGTGACCCCAAAACTGAAAAAAGTAAAAAAAAATACACTTTTAAGTGAACTGACCAAGAAAAAGGCAGATTAGGATGTCTAGAATCAGAAACAAAAGAGGGGTCATGGCTACTGACATCACAGAAATGAAAAGGATCATAAAGGAAGACAATGAACAAAAGAGATCATTGAGATGAGGTGGACAAGTCCAGAGAGACACTAACTCAAGAAGAAACAGGACCTCCCCCAGACTGAGCCCTGGACCCAGGCACCCAGCACAAAAGGCTGAGAAAACCCAAAAGAAGAAGAAAGATGCGGGGCCGGGAGGCAGCGGAGGTTGAGCCTGGCCAGGGGAGGCCCAAATTCAATGCCTGGATGGTCCCCTGAGTCCCCTGGGACTTCCCCATCTCCTGCCACACACACACACACACACACACACACACACACACACGAATAAAAAGAAGAATCTTGTGGCTGGAGCGATAGCACAGCGGGTAGTGTGTTTGCCTTGCATGAGGGCTGACCCGGGTTAGATTCTCAGCATCCCATATGGTCCCCCAAACACCGCCAGGAGTGATTCCTGAGTGCATGAGCCAGGAGGAACCTGAGCATCACGGGTGGGGGGGGGGGAGGGAGGAGGAGGAGGAGGAGGAGAAATTCAAATAGAAATAATGGGAATAGATTTGTAAAAAGTGCAGAGATAGAAAAAGCAACTTAGAAAAGACCCACACAGTGCCGGAGAAACAGTCCAGCAGGGAGGATGCTTGCCTTGAACGTGGCACATCTGGGTTCAATCCCCCGCATCCTATATGGTCCCCTGAGTTCACCAGGAGTGACTCCTGAGTATAGAGCCAGAAGTAAGACATGAGCATTGCTAGATATGACCCCAAAACACAAAAATGAAACAAATGAAAATCTCGGGCCCAGGTGCTTCACCAGTGGATCCTGTCTAATATTAAAAGAAATAATACCGATTGGGCTGGAGCAATAGCACAGCGGGTAGGGCGTTTGATCCAGGTTTGATTCCTCCATCCCTCTTGAAGAGCTCGGCAAGCTACCGAGAGTATCCTGCCCGCATGGCAGAGCCTGGCAAGCTCCTCGTGGCATATTCGATATGCCAAACACAGTAACAAGTCTCATAATGGAAACATTTCTGGTGCCCGCTCAAGCAAATAGATGAACAGCAGGAGGACAGTGACAGTGACAATACCGATTAACCACAAACTCTTGCAAAATACAGATGAGAAGGTGACAAAGCCTAACTCAAACAAGGAGGTATGTTCTAAGCACCAAGACCAAAGAGACACACACACACACACACACACACACACACACACACACACACACAGGGGCCCAAACTGTGCTCGGGGCCTACTCCTGATTCTGTGCTCAGGGAACACTACTGGTGGGCTCAAGAGTCTATAAGTGGTGCCGGGGACTGAACCTGGATCAGCTGTATGCAAGGCAAGTGCCCGACCCACTATACTATCTTTCAGCCTAAGACCAATACATTTTATAAATATGGACATAAAGCTCCTCAATAAAATAAATACAGGCTGACTGGCACCACTACGTTTAAAACTTATATATCATGGCCAGGCCTATCCCAGGAATACATGGTTGGTTCAACACCTGCGAATCAAGGGACAGAGCATAGATCAACGGGCCCAAAGTAAAAGTTATGTGATCCAACCACACCATGGAAAAAAGCATTTCACAAAACCCAGCCATTTTCGTGATAAAAACAATGAATGAGGCTTTGTGGGGGACTTTCTTAACCAGGTCAAGAGCACTCACAGCCGGCACCAGATTTAAGTGTGGGAGATGGATACCTGCCGCCCGCACCAGTGCAATTAGGCAAGGAAGAGAAAGAAAAGGCATCCGGCTTGTTCAGGAAGGCAGATAAGACACTGCTCTTCATGTCAAGCACCCGGCCGGGGAGAGATAGCCCAGCGGGCTCGTGTAGGCTTACAGGAGGGAGGCTGGGTTTGGTTGCGGGTGCTGCATGGTCCCCCAGCACCACCAGGAGTGACCCTGAGCACTGGGCCTGGAGTTGCTGAGCATTGCCAGGGCCCTGAACGAAACGAAGCAAAGCTCCAGGATTAGGGCGTTTGCCTTGCACGCAGCCAACATGGCCGACCCGAGTTCGATTCCTCCGCCCCTCTCGGAGAGCCCGGCAAGCTACCGAGAGTATTCGATATGCCAGACACAGTAACAACAAAGTCTCCAATGGAGACGTTACTGGGCCCGCTCGAGCAAATCGAGAAAAAAAACAAAAAATCAAAAAAGTTGCTGAAACCAACATATAAAAAATTCAATTGGGGGCTGGAGCGATAGCACAGAGAGTGGGGCGTTTGCCTTGCACGCGGCCGACCCGGGTTCAATTCCCAGCATCTCATATGGTCCCGAGACCACCAGGGGTAATTCCTGAGTGCAGAGCCAGGAGTAACCCCTGTGCATCACTGGGTGTTACCCAAAAAGCAAAAAAAAAAAAAATTCAATTGCAGGGTGGGCTGGGGTGCTTGGCGAGAAAGTTCAGCAGACAGAACGCTCGCCCTGCATGCGGCCGGCTGGGTTGGATCCAGGGTACCCCAGATGGTCCCGAGTACTGCCAGGAGTGATTCCTGAGTGCACAGCCAGGAGTAACCCTGGAGCAGCAATGGGTCTGGGGCCCCCTAAAAATAACAAACCCACTGAGTTAGGTAGATAGTGTGTTTGCCTTGCATACGGCTAACCTGGGTTCGATCCCCAGCAAGGCATTTGGTCCCCTGAACAGCACCAGGAGCCATCACTGCGCACAGCCGGGCACAGTCCCAACACCAAACAAAAACTTTTAATTGAATATCTATGGATTTATAACATACAAAACAAACACTGTCCTCTCGTAGTTCATTGATTTTGCTCGAGCGGGCCCAGTAACGTCTCCATCTTGAGACTTCTTGTTACTGTGTTTGGCATATGGAATACACCATGGGTAGCTTGCCAGGCTTTGCTGTGCGGGCGAGACACTCTCGATAGCTTGCTGGGCTCTCCGAGAGGGGCAGAGGAATCGAACCTGGCTCGACCGGGCTGGCTGCGTGCAAGGCAAACGCCCTACTGCTGTGCTATCGCTCCAGCCCAAACATACAATTAAAACATAAAATTAAGAAAATTTTATTAGTAAAATAACAGCAAGAAAGAATAAAATGAACACAAGAAGGGAAAAATTTGGAATCACAGCAATTGTATAGTGAGTAAGGCTCTTGCCTTGCTTGCAACTGACCCGGATTTGATCCTGGACACCCCATAAAGTCCCCTGAGTCCATCAGGAGTGATCCCTGAGAGCAGAGCCAGGAGTAAGCCCTGAGCACTGCTGGGTAGGCAGGGCCTGACCCCTACCCCCAAACCACTATCACTGCTGAAAAAATTAAAGATCAGAACAGAAGGGAAGGGGGGGGATGGGGGGTGGGAGGGATGCTAGGACCCGTGGTGGGGGAGGATGGGCACTGGTGGAGGGATGGGTACTTGATCATTGTATAACTGAAACCCGAGCACAAAAATTTGTAAGTCTATAAGTGTACTCCATGGTGTTTCACTAATAAAAAAAATGTTAAAAAAAAAAAAGAACAGAAGGGAAACACCTCATGTTCATGGACCCAAAACTTTACCATTAAGGCGGTTCTACTATCCAGTGATCTGCAGAGTCCCTGCAAAGGCCCTTAGGATCCATCTAACTTCTCTGCAGAAACTGACCAGCAGATGGGGTTGGAGCAACAGTACAGCAGGAAGGGCGTTTGCCTTGCACGTAGCTGATCCAGGTTCAATCCCTGGCTCCCCATATAGTCCTCTGAGCCCTGCCATGAATGACCCCTTAGTGCAGAGTCAGGAGTATGTCCTGATCACCACCAGGTGTGGCCCCAAAACAAACAAAACCAAGAAACTGACTGGAGAACTGGAATCCACTTGATATAGTAAGAGATACAGGATCATCCTCCCCCAAAAAACCCCAAAATTCCAAGAACGAAGAATTTTGTTCTTCAAAAGAAGAACCCATGTTCTGGGGGGTATGGTGCCACCAGCAGGTCAATCTGTACCTACGAGGCGAGTGCATCAGCAGCCTGATGGCGCCTTCAGACTTCCAGATACCCCAAAATTGCTGCTGTGCCTTTGGCCAGACTCCAAAAATTTGGGGCAAAATTTACCAAGAAAGTAAACGGCCAAAAATTAGGTATGTGGGAGACACACCCACAACCCACCTTTGGCTCAGCTATATAATTGGAGGCATGGCCTCTCTGGTTCCTGATCGAACTGCTTAATGGCCATGATCCCAGAGACTCAGATATGAATCTCGAAACCCAACGGCTTTTGGCAGAAAAGCGTCTGGTCCCTGCAGTAGGTTACCGGTGCTAGGCCACTCCAGGTAGAAACAGGTTTCGTGCCTTGGCCTGTTCTTCCTGGCGGCTCAGTGGCCGTCATCCTCCAGAGGCCACTGGACAGTGAGGTTTGGGCCCACAGTGACGAGACACGTGGGGCCTCATGGGATGGGGGTGGAGCTGGCCCTTTCCATCCTGTCCCAATGAGACCCCGAGTTGCCGCCCATGAATGGCCTCTCTGGCTCCTGATCAAGCTGCTTACTGGCAATGATCCCAGAGATTCAGAAACAAATCTCGAAACCCAGTGGCTTTTGGCAGAAATGTGTCTGGATCCCGCAGTAGGTTACTGTTGCTGGGCCACCCCAGGGAGGAAAGGGTGCTGTCCCTCCGCCTGCTCCCCCTTGGCGGCTTGGTGGCCGCCATCCACCAGAGGTCAATGGACAGTGAGGTCTGGGCCCGCAGTGACGAGACATGCAGGGCCTCACGGAATGGGGGTGGAGCCGGCCCTTTCCTCCCCATCCCAACGAGACCCCGAGTAGCTGCCCACGAACGGCCTCTCTGGCTCTTGCTCAAATCGTTTAATGGCCATGATCCCAGAGTCTCAGAAACAAATCTCGAAACCCAGTGGCTTTTGGCAGAAATGCGTCCAGTCCCTGCAGCAGGTTACCAGTGCTGGGCCAACCCAGGTGGGAATAGGTCTTGTGTCTTGGCCTGTTCCCACTGGCAGCCCGGTGACTGCCACCCTCCAGAGGCCACTGGACAATCAGGTTTGGGCCCGCAGTGACAGACACGTGGGGCCTCATAGGATGGGGGTGGAGCCGGCCCTTTCCTCCCCGTACCAATGAGACCCTGAGTTGCCACCCACAAACGGCCTCTCTGGCTCCTGATCAAGCTGCTTAATGGCCATGATCCCAGAGACTCAGAAACAAATCTTAGAACCCAGCGGCTTTTGGCAGAAATGCGTCCGGACCCTGCAGTAGGTTACTGTTGCCGGGCCACCCCAAGGGGGGAAAGGGTGTTGTCCCTCCGCCTGCTCCCCCTACGTGGCTCGGTGGCCATCATCCTCCAGAGGCCACTGGGCAATCAGGTTTGGGCCCTCAGTGACAAGACACGCAGGGCCTCATGCGATGTGGGTGGAGCCAGCCCTTTCCTCCCCGTCCCAAAGAGACCCTGAGCAGCTGCCCATGAACGGCCTTTCTGGCTCCTGATCAAGCTGCTTAACGGCCATGATCCAACAGACTCAGGAACAAATCTTGGAACCCAGCAGGTTTTGGCAGAAATCCCTCCAGATTTAATTGTTAAAACTTCGAAATTTGAAAATCATGCGGCCACTACCGCAGCCACACAACACCATATGTTACTCATAACCAGCAACAGAAAACAAATTGTCTAGTGTTGCCTTTTCAGCAGATCTGAGTGTTGGGGTAAAGTCCCAAATAAAAATGGTGGGTCTGGTGTCAAAATATTGAATGTAATCAAAGTAGAGAGAGAGAAATGTGGAAATCATCTGCCCCACAGGTAGGGGGAGGGTGTGGGATGGGGGTATACTGGGGTTGTTGGGGGTGGAGAATGGGCACTGGTGAAGGTACGGGTTTTTCATTGTATGACCGAGACAAACCCTAAAGTTTTGTAACTGCTCTCATGGTGATTCAATAAAAATTATAAAAAATGAAAAAATAAAGTAAGGTGGAGTTCATGCCCAATTCAATCAGCTAAGCTAGTGGCTGAATAAATAGCAATATTCCTACATTAAAATAAAAAAAAGAAGAACCCATATTCCAATTTCAAAACGTACTCTCCGCAGTGACAGTGATAAAGACGGCCTCGATGCAGAGACGCACGGATCGATGGGTCTGGCTCGAGAAATGACCCATCTATCAATGGGCACGCAATCTCTACCCCTCACTGGGAAACACCGGCCTCTCGGCCACGTGATCGCCAAATTTCTCCCACAGGACGCATCATTCATTTGTCAGGGATCCCAGGTTGACATGTGAGCGCTAAAACTCTTAGGCTTTCTGAAGGAAAACTGGGAGGAAACTTCATGACTTTGGATTTGGTGCAATGATGTTAAAGGCACAAGGAGCAAATGAAACACTAGCTCCAGGACTGGAGCGACAGCTTAGCAGGAGGGGCACTGCCATGCACGTGGCCGACCGGGGTTTGATTCCCGACGGTCCAAGTGCTCCCCCAAGCCCTGCCGGGGTGGCCGAGAGCAGAGCCCTGAGCTCCGCAGGGTATGACCCCCCCCAACAAAACAGAACAACTAGATCTACTGGATTTCATCAAAGTGAAAAACACGTCCTCCAAATGACTCTGAAGAAAGTAAAAAAATTAAAAAAATAAGAGGCCGGAGTGATAGCACAGTGGGGAGGGCACCTGCCCTACACGCGGCAGACCCCGGTTCAATCCCTGGCATCCCGTGAGGTCCTCTGAGCACTGCCGGGAATAATTCTTGAGCACAGAGCCAGGAGAAACCCCTGAATGTTGTCAGGTGTGGTCCCCCAAATAAACAAAGTAAAGAGATAAGCCTCAAATTGGAGAGAGTATTTGCAAAGCTCGTGAGTGAGGAAAGCCAGGCGGCCTGACCGAGGCTAAGGTGATGGTCACTCAGCAGTGGAACGGTGACCCGCGTGCAGAGGACGTACAAAGGGCCAAGCAGGTGCTGCCCAACTGTGCCAGTCAGGAGGGAGAGGCCAGTCAGAAACGGCCCCGCAGAGCCCGCACTGGTTCCCGTTCCCGACTGTGGAACCGAACTCCAAGAATGGCAGAGGGAGTCACCCCAGCCCCCTGGCTGGCCGACAGTCCAGCCGTAGCCCTCACCTGACCCCCAAGCCCCACGGCCAGGCCTCAGAGAACTGGCGACACCCCCCAGCCACACTGTTCGAAGGAGGAAGCCACCCCACTGTCCCTCAGCAGTGCTGCAGGGCAGGGATGCCAAATGAACAGAAAGTTCTAGAGCTGCCTAGGTTAGGGGAGGGTCTGCTGGGGGGGTGCTCTGTTTTAATGGGGGGAGAATTTTTTTGAGGCCCCCCCCTAGGGCTATTTCTGGAGGAGGAGCTGGAGCAGGCAAGTGACTGTCAACCAGAACCGTCCGCCATGGGCAAGGCCACCCCCCAGGGCTGCCAACAGACCCCCAAACCCGAGCCCAAGCCCTGTTTCAGGGGCAAACTCCTGAGGTCGAAAGTCAAAAGCCCCCGCACCCCGAAACCCTGACCCGCCCGGGGAGAGGCCGCAGGGGCTGGCAGGAGACCCCATCTGAGCCCCAGGCCTGAGCAGGGGCCACTGACCTCTCGAAGGCCACGTGGCGGGTGTCCAGGTGGGTGGAGACGATGGGCGAGGTCAGGCGGCTGGCCACGTGCTCCTCGCTGGGCCTCATGGCGGCCAGCAGCGCCTCGGGCTCGTGCAGCGCCAGCGCCAGCGTCTCCGTGTGCACCACCTGGCGGTCGTGGTCCACCTCCATCACCAGGGCGCCCTCCTCTGCCGGGCAGGGGTGGGGGGGGGGACAGTGGGTGCCAGGCCGCAGCCCCTCCCCCAGCCCCGCGCGGCGGGCGTGGCGCCCCCTGGGGGGCGGGCGGGGCGGCGCCTCACCCTGGCCCTTGAAGATGAAGCTCCGGCGGCCCCGCTGCCACGTCATGTGCTCGAAGCCCAGGAGGCTGGTGTCCACGCGCAGGCTCTCGCCGCGCTTCCACACCCGGTACACGTCGCTCGGGCACATCTTGGACACCAGGGGCACTGCGGGAGCGGGAGGTCATGGGGGCCCCTCCCGGGAGCCCCGCCCCCCCAGGCCCGAGTGCGCCCCACTCACCCCAGCTGGTGAACTCCCACTTCATCTCCACGTAGAAATCGGGAGCCTGGGAGAGGGCAGAGGTGGTGGGGGGTGGGGGGCCGCCCCCCCAACGAGAGACCCCCTTGGCAAGGCGTGGGCTTAGTGTTGCGCCCCAACCCTGGCCCCTGCAAACCGGGTGCGGGAAAGGGAGGGCCAAGGAGGGCCCCGGAAAGGTGTGGGGGGCCGCAGGGACAGGTGGAAGCTTGCAGGTGTCAGTCTCAACCGCACCACTAGCTGCTGTCCTGGGTGCCAGGGTCCTCGGGTGTGAAGGGGGCCAGGCCGTCGGGGGAGCCTCCCTCCGCCCCCCACAAGGCCCAGGGGCGGCTGGCATTTCAGGAACGGTGACCTTCTTGTAGCCAAGGCACTCCCAAAGCACCCCCTCTCCCGCCCTGCCCCCAGGATGGGGTGCTCACAGGGGCCCTCTATCAGGGCCCCCTGCTGCACGCCCACTGTACCTGGGGGACCCGCCAGCAGCCCCCCCTTACTGCCCGCCCACTGTACCTGGCGGAGCTTGTTAAGCAGCTCGGGGATGCCCGCCAGCCGCTGCGTGGCCCTCTGGTAGTCCCGGTACTGGAGCACCAGCTGCACCATCTCGGGGTCCCCCGTGCTGACCGCCTCCTGCAGGACTGGGGGTCCCAGGCTGCTGAGGGGCGTCTCTCCAGGAGCCCCCGGCCTGGCCTCCGAGCCCTCCCCAGCGAGCCCGCTTCCAGCCCCTGCCACTGCAGTACCTGCCCAGCCCTGGCAGCTCTCCTTGCCCACGTTGGCATTGTGTCGAAGCAGGACCCGCACCGACTCCAGGTTCCCCAGGGACACGGCCAGCTCCAGGGGAGTGCGGCCCCGGGGGTCCTCCTGCTCAATGTCGTGCTGGGGGAGACGCGGCCCTCACTCAGCGCGGGGAGCCCCGCGGAAGGAGGGGCACGGGCCGGGAGAGGGCAGCGGGGCCTGTGTCCTGTGTCCAGGCGAGGGGGGCGGGGGAGCGGCGGGCGGGCGGCCCTGCCCACCTCTCCCGTCCCCTGCCAGGGCGCTGCAGAGCTGGGGGAGGGGGTGGGCAGCTGCAGGTGTGTTTGTTCGGGCGGGAGGTCGGGGCCGGGGGCTGGCGGGGCTCGGCCGGTGCGACGACGCACCGTGGGCGCGGAATGCAATGCGGTGGCGTGACGGCAGGGATGCGGCCGGGCGAGGCCCTGCGCGGCGCGCCCAGGCCTGGGGTTCGGGCGCGGGGGGCGGCCGCCCCGGGCTGCGGCTGGGGGGGCGGGGGCGGCCAGGGGGCCCGAGCCGGCCGCGGCGGGGGGGGCGGGCCGGGGCGGGGCGGGGCGGGGCGGCCCCGCGGCCTCACCTGGCGGCTGTGCAGCGCGGCCTCGAGTTCGCGGTGCCGGTTCGCCCAGACCAGCCGGTGCAGCGGGAAGGTGGGGCCCGGGCCGGCCATGCTGGGCCTCAGCGCCGCATCCCGGGCGGGAGGGCGGGCGCAGCGGGGGCGGCCCGGCCCCCCTGGGCTTCAGCTCGCCCGCGGCCCCCTCGCCTGGCGTCCGCGCCGCGCCCCGGAGGCGCCCCCCGCAGCCCCGCGGCCCCCTCGGCGGCAGCGGCGACAGCGGCAGCGGCGCGGGCAGGGGGCGGGGCGTCCCCGGGGCGGGGCGGGGCGTCCCCGGGGCGGGGCCTGGCCGGGGGCGGGGCTTCGGGCCGCGCGCCCCCGACCTCCCGCAGCCATGGCAACCGCGGCCGGGCCCGCGCGCGCGCCGGGGGCGGGCGGGGGGCGCTGCCCGGGCGCCGTGGCAACCGCGCGCTCGGGGCGAGGCCGAGCGCTGGGGCGGGGCCTGCGCCGCTCTCCGCCCGCCGCCTGCAGGGGGCGCCGCAGGCCCGGCGCAGACCCCCGCTTCCTTGCGAGTCCGGAAGGGGAAGGTGGGGGTCCCGGGGCGGGGCGGGGCGGGGGCGGCGCCCCCGGGCGCGGGTGCGCGTGCGCGGGCCTCTCTTCGACGCCCGAGGTCCCCGCGTGGCCGCTGCGCCCTGCGCACCCGCGGCGGCTCCTGCCCGGCCCCGCGGGGACCGACTCTGGCTGCGTGTGCGCGGGAGATGCGAGTCGGACCCCCGCGTCCCCCCTCCCCCGCCCGGCTGCCCCTAGGTGCTGACCGAGCTTGACACACCTTCCCCTTAGCGGGGTCCCGGGATGCGTCCGCGAGGGGCCCTCACAGAGGCTGCTCGTTGCTGCCAGTGCCAGAGAGGAAGGGGGGGTTTCGAAATCAGGGCGGGCCCCTCCCCCATAGGGAACTGGGGTGCAGCCTCGGCCGCCGACCGAGCCTGGGTTCTGCTCCTTGCGGGTGGGGGTGGTGAGGGCCACCCTCTCCCCCGTGCGGTGTGCCTGGCCCGCCTGGCCTCCCTGTTGGCAAAATGACTTTTTTCTTTTTTCCTGCTTTTTTGGGTCGCACCTGGCGATGCACAGGGGTTACTCCTGGGTCTGCACTCAGGAATTACTCCTGGCGGTGCTCAGGGGCCCATATGGGATGCCGGGAATCGAACCCTGGTCGGCTGCATGCAAGGCAAACGCCCTACCCACTGCGCTATTGCTCCAGCCCCGGCAAAATGACTCGAAGTGAGTCTTTAGGCGGGAGCCCTAGGTCTGCTGTGTCCTCTCCGTGCAGCGGGACAGGCTGCCACTCCACCCTGTGGTCTACAGCCTCAGAACCTGAAAGCGGCCCTGCTGGTTGTCTTTGCAGCTGACCTGGAATTGGACTCGGGGTCTGACTCGCAGGCATGTGCCCACTTAGGATTTTTCATTTGAGGGGGAGAGCTGGAGAGCGTCTCAGCCAGCCAGGCAGGAGGTTCGGTGCAGGGGTGGAAGGGATCACCCAGGCTGTACCCAGAGGTGCTCAGGGATCACTCCTGGTAGTGCTCAAGGGACTGTGTGGTGCCGTGAATCAAACTGGGCTGTGTCTGGGCAAGCCCTTTACCCCCATACTGTCTGACCTGACATCTAGTTTTCTTTAGGGGGGCCACATGCACCCACGTTCCTGGGGCTCCCACATACCCAGCATGTGCTCTGGACCTTTGCACCATCTCGTCTCCCTACCAGACTTCAGCCTCGTTCCACATACTTTCTTGGGCCACCCCTGGTGATACTCGGGACTTACTCTGGGCTCTGTGCTCAGGCATGACTCCCAGTGGTGCTCAGGGACCACATGGGATGCTTGAATGGGGTCAGCCACAGGAAAGGCAAGCGCCTGGACCGGACCCCCACACCCTTGGTGGCTCTGGACTCCGAATCCCATGCCCCTCTCAACTCCCCATCCATTGGCTCTTTGGGGGGTTTGTTCCTGCTACCACCCCCCAACCACAGAGCTTTCAGGACCCCCGCTGCCTCTTCTCCCCTGGCTCTGCTCTCCCCTGGGCCCTGGCCCTTCTCCCACAGCGTGGACCTGGCTCTCCACCCCTTCCCGTCCTGACAAGGCCTCTGGCAGTGACTGCTGGTCACTCCCTTCATCAGAGCCTTCCCGGCCTCTGCCTGGGCGCTGCTGCTCCTTCAGCTTGGCCTTGGCCCCGAGCTTTGCCAGGGGCAGGCCCAGACCCCGGAGAGGGGCCTGGAGGGCAGGGGGTGTGGGCACGGGCAGCCGCGGCCTGCTGCCCCATGCCCCGCGAGGGCCAGGCCCAGCCGCCACACACAAGACTCAGACACGCCGAGGAGTCAGGCACCATTTTTTATAAAAACGCGGAGTTTCATTTTCCACTCTTCAAAATCACATTCAAAATCGGCAAAGAAACACCCCGGGAGTGAGTGGGGGGCAGGCGCCGACCCAGCCCCAGGGGAGGGCGACACCACACGGCAGCGCGACTGGCACAGGGGGCATGCGGCGGGCGGGGCGGGGCGCTGGCGCTGACAGGACGGGGTGGTGGCCGGGGCTGGCCCCCCTTGTGGTGTGGCCCCGAGGAGTGCCCCTCCCCGGTCCCTGAGCTCTGGCCCCAGGGCGGAGAGAGGAGCGGCGGGGGCCCAGCCCGTGCCCCGCCCACGTCCAGCGAAGTCAGGATGGGGGTGGCCGGGTCCCAGGGTGCTTCCGACACGAGGAGCCCAAGTCCCGTGGAGACCCTGGGGCAGGGGGACCGTGCCCCCTCCGCCACCCGGCCCTGGCAGGGGAGGCCACGCCGCGGTGGGCAATTTCAAGTAGGCTCTGTCGCTGTGGCCTCCCCGGGGGCGCCGGGCCACCAGGCGGGGGCCGAGGCGGCGCCTCGACTCGCCCCTCGGGAAGACAGTGGGAGCGGGAGACCCCCGGGCGCGGGACGGAGGGCGCGGACGGTGGCTGGTGGGCGGCAGCGGGAGCCAAGGCAAGCGAGCCCCTCCCTGGGGGCTGGGCCAGGCTGGGGCCACAGGAAATCACAATAATTACAAAAGAAACCTTTTCCGCTTGGCGGGAAAACAAATAATAAAAATTCGACAAAATAAATTAGAGGTTTATAAAAGGCGGTGGGCGGGCGGGCGGGCGGGCGGCTCAGAGGCCGTTGGCACTGCCCCGCTGGACCAGGGGCACCTTGCTGAGCTCCACCACGGGCGAGCGCGGCTTGTTCTTCATCTTGGGCACCCGCTGCACCAGCTGCTGGGCCTCGCGGTAGGCGTCGCGCAGCTCCTTCTTCCACTGCACCAGCTCGGGGTCGCTCTGCGGACGTGCGCGGGGGGGGGGGCGTCAGCCCGCCCACACGCGCGGCCCCGCCCCGCCCCTGCCCGCGGGCCACTCACGTCGCACTGCAGCACGAACTGCTTGCCGCCGCGGATCTTCAGCAGCAGACAGCGGCGCTCCTTGATCTGCGTCTCCTCCACCGACTGGATCTCCTCCATGGTCAGCAGGCTCTGCTGCGGGCGGGGCGCGCGGGCGGCCGGTGAGCGCGCGGCGGTGGCGGCGGCGGGGGACCCCCGCCCGCCCGCCCCCCCTCGCGCTGCTTACCGGGGCCTCGCCCTCGCCCCGCCACTCCAGCCGGTTGGGGAACAGGTAGAAGTAGCGCCGCTGCCACTGCGTCAGGAAGGGGTTGCCCATCTTGGCCATGTAGCCGTGCATGATGCAGTCCTTGCCCAGGGCGTAGTCTGCCACACAGTCACCGGGTCAGTGCCCGCCGCCCCGACCGCAACTCCCCCCCCCCACCTCCCTCCTGGGCCCACCCACCCGCGCGCCCCACCTTCCTCGTGGCCCAGCTGCTTGTTTTTGGTTTTCTTGCGTGTTTCCAGCCGGTCCGTCTCGGCGTTGATGGTGTCGAACACCGTCTCGGCCACCTCCTGCTGCCACCGCTCCGAGATGGTGAGCGGGAAGTTGCGGTAGAGCTCCTGGTCGCTGTCCAGCAACTGCGCGGGGGCCACGGACAGGGTCAGCCTGAGCAGGCGTCTGCAGGGCCGGGCGGGCGCGAGGGCGTGGCGGGCAGCCCGGCAGCCGCAGGTACCTTGATTCCTTTGGTGTCCTCCTCGTCGAAGGAGCCGATGTCAAAGGCGTCGGCCGCGTTCACCTCCCCGCGCGGGGGGATGAGGGGGGGCGGGTACTGCAGATGGGGGAGGGAGGGGGCGTCGGTCACGCGGGGCAGAGCTGCAGAGCACCCCCTGGCCTGGCCCCAGGCCCTTACCTTCTGCAGGAACACCATCTGCCAGTCCAGGGAGCGAAAGAAGGGGCTTTCCTTCACCTCCTGAGCCCTGGGGGGACACGGGGCTGGGGGCTAGGGCTAGGCCAGAGGGTCCGCCAGGGTGGGCTGGGAGGCCGGAGAAGCAGCGGCTCCTAAGCTACCTGGTCCACACTTTTTGTTTCAATGGCGGCAACAGCCGAGGCATTGGGGCCAGTGGAAAGGCGCAGGGGCTGGAACCCGAGTGTCCCCCCCCCCCATGTTGGCGCATGCCCCTGCAGCCCGCTGTGTGGGACCTGCGCTATCTCAGGAAGATGAGCGCGAGCACTGTGACACAGCGGGGTGAGCAACAAAGCCAGTCCTGGGGCGCACCCTCGGGGAGCACAGCGAAAGGAATGATACCCCCCTGGGGAGGGATCCAGGTGGGCCCTGCCCCGTGGTCACCACCAGAGCAGCAGCAAGGCAGGAAGAGAGAAGAATCCCGACTGCCTTTCCACAGGCTGCCTGGCCGGCCCTGAACCTGCCCAATGGGTCCCCGCCCACGAGCATCTCCCAGGAGGCCCGGCGCGGAAGGGCCCAGAGACCGGACACAGCCAGGCACAGGGCACCCAGCCTGTGGGGGCGCCCACCCGACACTCACCCCCGGCCGCGGCAGCCCAGCCTGCGGTTGACGTCCCTCTGCAGCAAACCCTCCAGCAGGGAGCGCAGCTCGGGGGAGAAGGAGTCGGGAAGCTCTACCGCCTGCGGGGAGGGAGAGAGGCTGCGGCCGGGCAGAGCCCCCACGGGCACTCTGGCCCACAGCACTGGGCAGGGGCCAGGGCAGAGCCCCCACGGCACGGGGCAGGGGCCAGGCAGAGCCTCCATGAACACCCTGGCTCAAAACACGGGGCGGAGGCCGGGGCAGAGGCGACTGAGAGGTCCCCACCCAGGTCCCCATGCTAACTCACAGAACAGGTTAGAGAAGGGCCAATTTTTTTTTTTTTTTGCCTTTTGGGTCACACCCAGCGATGCTCAGGGGTCACTCCTGGCTCTGCACTCAGGAATTACGCCTGGCGGAGCTTGGGGGGACCATATGGGATGCCAGGGATCAAATCTGGGTTGAGGCAAACACCCTGCCCGCTGTGCTATTGCTCCAGCCCTGAGGGCCAAATTTTTGTTGATTGGCGGAAACCAAGAACCCATGACCCTGACGCCCAGGGGAACCCCAACCCCAGCCCACCTGTCCCCCGTGGGCCCACACAGCACCCCTGGGCTGGCCGGACACTCACCATGGTCAACGTCATGCGGTCAATCTCGTGCTTGTCTTTGGTCTTGTGCTGCCGGAAGGGGCTGTGCCTGGGCAAGAGAGGCAGGAGGCCCTGTCAGAGGGCAGGCGGGCTCCTGGGCCAAGCCTGGGTGCTGGTTCCGCTCAAGCCCAGGTCGGGGACACTCTGGGGCACTTACCCCCGCAGCAACTTGAAGAGCATGCAGCCCAGGGAGAACCAGTCGGCGCTGCTGTCGTAGGCCACACCCTTCTGCAGCACCTCGGGGGCCATGTACCCGTGGGTGCCCCTGTGAAAGCAGGGTGTGGGGAGTGGGCTGGGCAGTGGGCGGTAGGGTGGGGCGCCCTCGAACTGGTGAGGGTAGCACAGTGGGTGAATATGCACAGGGTGTGGTCTCAAGGTAGCACAGGGGTGGGGAAATGGGCGTGGCCTCAACTAGCAGAGGGCAGGGGATGGGCGGGGCCTGAAGCTAGCAAAGGGGCGGGGCGGGAGGGGCCTCAAGGTGGCAGAGGGGGCTGGGAATGGGCGGGGCCTCAAGCTGGGGGGGAACAGGCGTGGCCTGAAGCTAGCAAGGTGCGGGCATGGGCGTGGCCTCAAGGTGGTGCAGGAGATGGGAATGGGCTGGGCCTCAAGCTAACACAGGGGGGAATGGGCGTGACCTGAAGCTAGCAAGGGGCGGGGGGATGGGCGTGGCCTCAAGGTGGCACAGGGGGCGGGGAATAGGCGGCCCGTGCCCTCGCTACAGGGCAGGGAGTGGGCAGGGTGTGCCCTCATAAGCACACAGAGGTGCAGCCGTGGGCGTGGTACAGGGTCCGGACAGTGGGCAGGGCAGGGGCACTCACACGCTGGCGTGGGGCTTCTTCTTGGAGAAGTCGCAGGCCAGGCCCAGGTCGGAGATGCGCACGTGGCCGTGTTCGTCCAGGAGGATGTTGGCCGGCTGTGGGGGGAGCAGCAGCGGCTCAGGAGGGCGGGACCCTCGGCGGTGCAGGCAGGGTGGAGGGTGGGGGCGGGGTCGCCTCACCTTGAGGTCCCGGTAGACCACGAAGCGGTTGTGCATGTGCTCCAGGCCCAGGATGATCTCGGCCGCGTAGAAGCGCATGTCGGCCTCGGAGAAGACGCCGTGCTGGGACAGGTGGTAGTGCAGGTCACCGCCTGCGGGAGGCAGTGGGGGCTCAGCTCCTGGGGTCGCCCCCACCCGGCGGGCCCCAGCCCGCCACTCACCGTTCATGAGGTCCAGGATGAAGCTCAGCTTGTCGGGCGTGTGGAAGGCATAGGACATGCAGACGATGAACGGGCAGTCCTGGGGACGGGAGGGGGCTCAGGGGGGCAGGCAGAACCCGGGGACGGGAGGGGGCGAGCGCAGGGGGGCCCCAGGCTCCCAGCGCCCACTGTCGGGGGTGGGGGAGCGGGGGGGCTCCGGAGAGCGGCAGAACTTGGGGCTCCCAGAACTCCCTGCAAGGGTGGACAGGACCTGGGCCCCCAGCGGCCCCCTGCCGGGCCGGCGCTCACCCCCGTGCTGACGAGGGACAGCATGATGCGCTCGTTCAGGGCCAGGGTTTCGCCCTGCTTCATCTTGATGCGCTTCTTGTCCAGACATTTCATGGCGTACCTGGGGGGAGGGGCTGGTCAGGGGCATCCCGGTGGGAGACACACCTCGAGGACAGAGCAGGGGAGCAGCTGGCAGGCAGGGGCGGGTGGCGCCTGGGGGTGAGGGGGGCTGCAGATAGTGGTGCCCCCCCCACCCTCCCCTCCGGCTTCCGGCAGACCCAGGCTCACATCTTGCCCGTGTCGGCCTTCCGGCACCCGTAGACCTCGCCGAAGCCCCCTCGCCCGATGATGCGATGCACGCTGAAGTCATTCATGGTCAGCTGGGGAGGCGACAGCCGGGTCACCACAGGAGGCTGGGCCGCAGCCCGGCACCCCGACCCCGGGCCCCTCACCCCACACCTACCTGCCTTGAGCTGCCCCCGAGGTCCTGGCACCACCCCCCCCCCCCCCCCCCCCCCCCGCCACCTCCCTGAGTACCCCTCCCCCCCGGCCACCTCCCTGAGGCCGGCCCCCACTTACGTGGATGTTGAGCTCCACGTTCTTCCACTGGCAGAAGCGCGTGAACCGGTCGCTGCAGGAGAAGAGCCGGGCTCAGTCCCGGGCGGGGGGCGACCAGGAGGCCGAGGGGGTCCCTGGCCCCCCAGACCACCCACAGGCTTTGGGGTGCTGGTGCCCGGCGGTGCGGGGGCCTGAAGGGGTGGCAGAGGGGCCCGGCCGCCTCACCTCTCGATGAATTTCTGGAACACGTCCCCTCGGAGGTTCTGGCAGATCTCCTCGATGTAGGGCTAAGGGCGGACACTGGAGGTTAGTGACCAAGTGGGCCCCAGCCCCCCCGCCCCCACCCCAGCCCCGCACCCACCTGGAAGAGATCCGGAGGCACCTGCTTCTTGACCAGGTGGCCCTGCACGTGCTCGATGGCGCTTTTTGAGAAGGGCTGGGGAGGGCGGAGGGGGCCGTGAGTGCTGTGGCCCCGCAGCCAGCCGTAGACCTCGCCGAAGCCCCCTGGGGTCGCACCCACCCACTCATCCAGCCCCAGCCCCCTGCCCCGGCCCCCGGGGGCGGCACTCACGTGCGAGCAGGCCAGCAGCTCCTTCATGATGTAGCTGTCAAAGATCTCCCGGCTGCAGGCCAGGCGCTCCTCCTCCGTCTCCAGCTTCTCGTATTTCCTGATCTGCACACAGGGCCGGGGTGACACCGAGGACTGGGGCGCGGGCTCGCGACACCCCTGCCCCCCCCACCCCAGCTGGCAGCCTGGCTCACCTCTTCATAGAACTCCACCAGGGGCCGGGCCTCCTCCAGGTGCTTCAGGCAGAAGTCACGGAATAGCAGGTAGCCTGCGAGAGTGCGGGCGCTTGTCACCTGCGGCGGTGGCAGAACTGGCCCTGGTGTCCCATTTGGGATCCAGGTGCCCATTCTGCACCCCCTTCCGGCCCCCTCTGGAGAGGGAAGGTGGGCTCAGAGGGGCCTTGGGAAAGGGAGGTGAAACTTTGCTCCTACCCAGGAAGTGGTAGATGGTGGCCTGGGCCTGTGCCACGGGGTGCCCGCTGCCCCCCTCCAGGCACCTGCCCATCAAGGCTGTTTTTTTTTTTTTTTTTGCTTTTTGGGTCACACCCAGCGATGCACAGGGGTTACTCCCAGCTCTGCACTCAGGAATCCCTCCTGGCGGTGCTCAGGGGACCATATGGGATGCTGGGAATCAAACCCGGGTCAGCCGCGTGCAAGGCAAACGCCCTCCCCGCTGTGCTCTCACTCCAGCCCCAAGGCTGTGCTTTGGAGTTCACAGGTGAGCCCCCCACCCCGGGCAGGTGGGGTGACCCCAGCTCCACAATCCTGGCCCGGAGGAGGCCACAGACAGGCCCAGAGCAGGGCAGGGAGCCTCCCCCGAGGCCGCGCAGCGCCAGAGGACTGGCTCCCCGGCTCCCGTCCAGCCAGGCCGCGGGGAGGCTGCTCCCCGGCAGCTGAGGCGTGGGGGGGCCGGGCCCACACAGCAGCAGGCGCCACAGGAAGGCCCCGCCCCTTCCTGTCAGCGCGACCAGCGGCCCGGCAGCTGTGCCTGCGCCAAGGGGAAGCTGCCGCTCTCAAAAACAAAAACCCCAAGGAGGAACTTCCCCGGCGGCCCGTCCCCCGCCTGGTCCTCGCAGGCTTCTTGGCCGAGCCCGGGAACAGGCCGGGAACAGCCAGGGGCGGGGGGTGGGGGTGGGGGTGGAGGGGGTGTCTGTCCATCCTCACCCAGCTTCTGCGAGAAGATCTTCTCAAAGGTCACCTCGCCCCGGTCCTCCAGGTACTTCTGCATGACGCTGCGGATGCTGGGGACAAATGGCCGCAGTGACCCCCGGCCCCAGGGCTCCAGGGGGGTGTGGCTCACCCCCCCAAGACCCTGCCCAGCAGGCTCTGTCCCCTCACAACAGCAAATCTCCAGGGCCAGGCCCCGAGACGGGGGGAACGGAAGGTGAAGGACCCCTGGCATGTCGGGGTGGCACCTGGGTCGGGGGTCTGACACTAAGGCCACACAATGAGCCATCATTGCGAAGGGTCCCCAGAAGCCAGAGCAAAGAGAACCGTGCGTGGCGTGGGCCACAGCGGGAAGGAGCAACAGTGAGTGGGTGGGTTTGTTATTTTTTTTGGGGGGGAGGTGACAGAATGTTCTGGAATCAGACAGTGGGGAAGGTTACAAAGGCCGTGAATGTACTAAAAACCATTACCTGCATACTTTATAACACCAGATTTTTTTTTTTTTTTTGCTTTTTTGGGTCACACCTGGCGATGCTCAGAGGTTACTCCTGGCTCTGTACTCAGAAATTACTCCTGGTGGTGCGCAGGGGACCCTGTGAGATGCTGGGAATCGAACCCGGGTCGGCCGTGTGCAAGGCAAACACCCTCCCCGATGTGCTATCGCTCTGGCCCCAACACCAGATTTTTGATGTGGGAAGTATATCTCACTTTGTCTTGGGGCCACGCCCCGCGTTGCTCAGAAGATGGTAAGGGGTGCTGGGGACCAAACCTGGGCTGGCCACGTGCAAGGCCGGCGCCCTGCCTGCTGTGCTATCACTCTGGCCCGGGTCTCAGGTGTCAGGAGTGATTAAAAACACAAACCGTGGGCCACGCAGCTGCTGCAGAGCCCTGGGCGGCTGGGGGACCTGGAGGCCACCCCGTGCTCCCTGGCATGGGTCTCACCCCCTTCTCTGCCCCTCCCCCAGCACCTTCAGTGCAGCCCTGCTGGCCTCCCGGTTGATCACAGTGGGGGTCCCTGTCACGGGGTTCCTGGGGCCGACACAGGGCCCCCCCACAGTGCTTCCATGACCTTCAGGGTTTGGGGTCACTGGGGCCGCACAGCTGGTGAGGACCTGGAAACTGGGCACCTCATGCCCACGGCAGTGTCCTGACCCCCTGCCGCAGTGCCCATGGTGGGCAGAGCAGACCCACGGTTGGGGCTGGCATGTGAGAGGTGAGAAGAGCCCGGCCAGGCCGTGGGAGCCTCAATGCAAACAGGATGTGGGGACCAGGCACCTGGGGCATGGGACAGGCTGGGGCCAGGGTGAGACAGAGGTGGCGGGGGATGCTCAGGTGGGGGCGCGGGCGGAGGCCCCGAGGTGGGGGGGCCGGAGGGAGGGAAGGAAATGGCAGGGGGGGGAGGTGGCTGCGGCTCGGAAGGGCGGGAGTTCCCGGCCTGGAGTGGGGGGCGGGGGGCCGCGGGGAGCCTCGGCCCTGGATTGGGCCCCTGGCCCCTCCCCTGCCCAGGAGGCGGGCACAGGGCCGGTCTGACGCCCATGATGGCCTCTAGCTGCCCCCACCGGAACCCTGGGCTGGCTCTGGGCTGGCTCCCTCTGCGGGGCGACGAGGTGCCCTCACAACCTACAGGGGTTCCCACAGCTGGGCGCCCCCGCCCCGCCCAGGGCACGCTGCTACCTGCGGCTCTCGGGGGACACATCCGGAGTCCCACGCATGGCTGCTCCCGGCACGCCTGGAAACCCCGAGAAAGACGCTCCTGGGCCTGCTCCGGCCGGAGCCAGGGGTTCTGGGTACAGCAGGGCGGAAGGCGCCCGTGGGGGGCAGGCCAGGGGCAGGGCTCACAGCTGCCAGGGAGAGGCAGGTGACGTGCACGGCAACGCCAGACCCCCCAAGGGACCCCAGCAACCACTAGCAGGAAGGAGAATGCCTGAGAGCTGCAGCCACGCTGCCCTCATGCGACCCGAGGCCCCCGGTGAGGCCGGGGATCCGGACCTCGCAGGACACAGCCGGCCTGCTCTGGCCCTTTACTTTCTTACAGGCCCAGCACCCTTGCACGAGGTCAGCAGAGCAGAGACCCGAAGGGAAGCCCCCCCAACGGCAGCTTTGGGGTCTGGGTCCCCTCGATGAGAGCTGCGGGCGCAATAAGCTGACCTGGGGGGCTGTTTCCGCGTCCAGACGGTGCTTGCTCCCCTTATCCCAGTCACCCCAAGTCCTGGGCACATGGCTCCCAGATCTGGATGGGGGGAGATGGGGCGCAGGAGAGCCACGGCCTGTGTCTTCTCAGCCAGGACCCCCGGCCCCAGCCTGCCAGGGGAGCCCCTCTGGGAAACGCGGGTGTCCAGGAAAGGCTGAGTCTCCGGACGCCTGAGGGACCGGTCCGGCCCTGACCGCATCGCCCGCCCCAGTGGCCCCCAGCAGTCACAAAATAAAAGAGGTGAAGGTGAGAGGAAGGGGAGCAGGTGGGCTCTTGCCTCGCTCTCGGGCGACACCGTGTGACCACAGAAGGTGCCCCGAGCCCCTCCAGGAGTGATCCCTGAGCACTGCAGGGTGTGGCCCAGAAGAAAAGCAAAAAACTAAATAAAAAAACAAATGAAAGATGAACCCAGGGCGCTGAGAGCCGCAGGGGGTTGTCGCCTGCGCTGGGGCCCGGCCAGGGCCATCCCCGGCTCCCGGGGCAGCCCGGGACCCCAAAGTGGCGGGGCTCCTTGGCAAGAGGCCCAGTCGCCATGGCAGGGAGATGCCCGCGGCCGCACCCTTGGGAGTGGCTGCTCGGAGCAGGCCCTGCCACTCGCGGGGGGCCGGGGACAGCGCTGCGGGGTGTGAGGGTGAGTGCTGGGGCTGCGCCCAGGGCTCATGGCAGAAGCGCCAGGCTGTCCCGGGGACCCCTGGGGTGACGGCGACCGGGTGGACTGGGGGCCCTTCGCCAAACTCTGGTGTGGGCCTCAGGATGGACTTGCAGCACGGCTGCACACTCCTGGGAGCCCCAGGGGCTGGGGGCAGCGGGGGTATGGCGGGGACCCCTGCGGGCACTTCCAGGAAGCCTGGCACGGCAGTGGCAGTGGCAGAAAGTCCCTCCCCCGGGGCTCCTTATTAATGTTCCTCAATGACTGTCCCTGGGGCTGTCAGGCAGAGCAGGGCGACCCACTGGGAGCTGGTCCTGCACACACGCGACACGAGACACAGCGGGGCTGCCGGGGACCCACCCCGACATGGGGGTGGCAGGGGAGCGGCGAGGGCTCGCGAGGGGCCCCCCCGGACCCTCCCTGGGCCCTCGGTCCTGGCTCTATCTTGTCCTCACTGGGCCCGCAGGGGACACAGCGCCCACTGCTTGGGCCGGGGGCCGGGCACGTGGCAAGCTGCCCGGGGACCCACCCTGACCCCATGGGGATTTACTACAGGGTTCGGGGCTCGTGGAGGGGCACTGTCCGCCCCCCAGCTCCAGGGTCGGGCTCGGCTCCCTCTGGAGAGAGGCCCCCGGTGGGCAAGCCAGCTTTGGGGGGTTTGGGGTTTTGTGTCTCCGCTCAGGGGTGGGGCATGGAAAGTTCTGGGGAAGGGGCAAAGGCTGAGCAGCTCAGCGGGAAGAGCGCGGAGGGAGGAAACGTGCCCTGCACCCCTTCCGCCCGCAAATCAAGGGCAGGAAGTCAGGGCGGCGGAGAGTTAAGCGGAGAGGAGCAGCAGAGGATGAGCCGGCCGGCCGGGGAAGCGAGGCAGGAAGGAGGCGGCCACCCTGGGGAGGGACGAGGCGGCCGGTGGAGGCTGCAAGAGACGCCGCGCCACCATCTGCCACCATCCCCGGGGACGCCGGGCCGCTCCTGGGACCGCCGGGCCAGGCTCCGCCGCGGGGAGCCCCGAGATTAATTACCGAGGCCTCCGTGGTCACATTAAGCAAATGACGCCAATTACACGACCTGAGTTCCTGCGGGGACAGGCGCAGACCACAGACCCGGGCAGCGGGTGCGGGGGGCGGGGTGGGCGGTGGGTCAGGGCTCCTGTCTTCCCCGGGCAGGCCAAGAACGGCTCTGCTTCCTGACTCTGGAGGATGGCAGAAGGGGAGGCACTGGTGCCAACCGCACGGGGCACGGTGCCCAGTGGCTGGCGTTTCCCAGCTCGGAGAAGTCAGGGCCGCGATGCCAGTCCCAGCCAAGCCACAACCTGGGCACCGGGCACCGAGAAGGACCACCCCGAGGTGGGAAGGGCTCCAGAGGGCACCTGGTCATGGCCCATCGGGGCCGGCCTCGTGGGGGGGCTGGCACGGAGCTCCCTGGGTCCTGCCACCGCTTGACCAGGCCGGCCCAGAGCTGGCCCAGCTGCTGGCCGTTGGGCTGCACCTTGAGAAGCAGCTGACCGTGCCAGGGGTCCCTGCCACTCCCTGGCCTCCAGAGCGGGGGTGAGGCTGGCTCTCCATGTGTCCACAGGAGAGAGCAGAAGTGTGAGAGCGGGTCAGGGCCTTGGGGGCCCGACGGTGGCGGCCCCCGGGCAGCCTCGACCTCTTCAATGGCTGACCCGAGCCCGCAGCACCACTCCGCTGCTAGAGCCTAAAAGCCCTTTGCCAAGGGGCTGAGCCAGGCGGGTGCCAGACATGCTCAGGGCATCGCCCGGCGCAGGGTGCGTCGCTCCCGCTGGGGTGTGGAGCAGGAGCCCAAGGGGGCTGCACCCCAGTGCTGGCCCTGCCCGCGTCCACCTGTCACAGCGGACAGCAGACGGGACCCGAGCCCTGGTCTCCTGTGCCCCTGTCCTGACAGCTCAGCGAGCATCCTGGCCACTGCACAGTGGACTCTTGGGTCGAGGGAGATGCCACGCGTCACAACAGATGACGAGCCGGTGTCCTGTCCGTCCTCGTCCCCCTGAGCCCCATCACCCCTGCCAAGGGGCCGGGGGAAGTGGAACATCTCGTTTCTCAGGGTGCGAACACCTGCAGCGCCTGCCCAAGGCGGGGCCCCCATCGGCAGCAGTGCATGCTGGGCAGATTACTCAAACGCAGAGAGAGTTCCAGAAAAGGCCCCACCTCACACTTTGCAGAACTCCCGACCCAAAGGAGGGGTGAGCCCGTGGCCACCCCCCGCCCAGGGCCCCGAGGGCCCACTCCCCCCGTTTCCTCCTGCGGCTTCGTCATCTCCGAACTCATGTCTGTCCTAACCGTCGCTGCTCCCTGGCCAGCCCCCCGCTGCCCCCTGGGTCGGGTTCCCGTTTTGGAAACCCGATTGCACATGTGCGGGGACGAAAGGAAGGTCCCTAGTGGCCGGCTCGCAACGCGGACGGCGTCCCCTCCGTCCCCTCCGTCCCGGGGTCCCGGGGCTGGTCAGCGGGGCGACGCGGGCGGCAGGCCCGGCCTCGGGGGAGGAGGTGCCAGGCAGGGTCCCCGCCGCTGTCCGCAGCGGGGGACACCAAGGCGCGGCCACGGGAGGGGCCGGCCCGACGCCACCGCTCGGGCCACCGCGGGGACCGCGCAGCCCCAGCGGTCACCTGGCCCCTCCCCGGCCACCTGTGCGGCGCCGGGCCGAGCCCTGCGCCGGGCGGGGGCGGGGGGCGCAGCATCCCGCCCCGACGCGGGCGGGCAGGGACCGCGGCCGGCGCCCCCTCGCCCCGGGCCCCCCGGCGCCCCCGCCCCCCGCCGCGCGCGCTCACCTGGGCTCGGGCAGCAGGATCTTCTTGCTGGCGCGCGCGGCCGGCGTGGCCTTGCTCTTCTCCATGGCCATCAGGTAGCTCACGTCGGCCAGCACCGCCTCCAGGTCGGCCATCTTGGCGGCCCGCAGCCCGCCCGCCGCTCGCTCGCCGCCTCACACGCCGCGTCGCCCCATGGCGCCGCCCGCGCCCGGCCCGGCTCGCTCGGCTCCCGCCGCTCTGCAGTCGGGGCCGCCGCCGCCGCCGCCGCCGCCGCCGCCGCCGCCGCGCCGCGCCGCCGCCGCCCGCGCTCCGAGGAGCCGCCGCCGCCGCCGCCGCCGCCGCCGCCGCCTCCGGCCCCGCCTGCCGCGCACGGCGCCAGCGAAGCCCGCGAGGGGCCGGGCGGCGGGCGCGGGCGGGGCGCCCCCTGCCGGCCGCACCCCGCGCCCGCACCCGGGCCGGGGTGGGGGGTGGCGGCGGGGAGCCGCGGGCCGCGACCCGAGCGCGCTCGCCTGCCCCCCACCCCACCCCACCCCACCCCCACCGCCCCGCGCCCCCGGCCCCGCGAAGGACCCTCCTCCCCACCCCCGCCCCCCCGGGCGCGGACCCGCGCCCCCCGCTCCGCCCACGCCCACGCCCCGCCCTGCAGCCGGACCCCGCGGCCCGATTTCCGCCCCGGGGACTGGTCCCAGAGCCGCGCCGAGCCCGGGTCCTCCTCGGGAGGTGGACGCGCAGGCACCCCGGGCGCCCCACGACCAGCTCTGCTCTCTCGGTGGACCCCGAGCAGCCTGGAGCCTCACCCCTGCGCCCTGCATCCCGGATCTCCGCCCTCCTGGCCGCCCTCCTGGCCGAGCACGCTGTTCTGTTATTCTCGGTTGTTTGGGGGCGGTGGGGGCGGGGGGGCTGCACCCCGCCGTGCTCGGGATCCAGGACCACTTCCGGCGGTGCTTGCGAGTAGAGGAGTAGAGGGGGCATGAGGTGCTCCTCATCGAACCCAGGACCTCACACATGCCAAGCAGGTGCTTCGCCACTTCCACCATCCCGGGCCCGGGCGCCACTCCTGCGTTCTGCTCTCCCCTTCCCTCCCTTCGCTTCTGCTGTTGTGGAGGTGACCGGGGGTCGCACACATTAGGGTCTGGCGCTCCGCCCACTTGACTGTATGCAGGTGCCGGGACCAAGGCTGGCACCAAGGTTCCAACTAAGGCCTCTTGCTTGTAGGGAGGACGCTTACTGTGCCATTCATGATTCTCCACTCTCTCCCCACACCCTCCTATCTGGTCCTCCCCCTTCTGCCGTCAGGAGCTCTGGGTGGCTGCTGTGCCATGGAGCCACTGGAGGGGCTGCCGAGAGCAGGGCAGCTCCCTCCCCTCCGCTCTGCACAAGCAGATCCGCTGAGCTAGTGCTGGAGCCTCTAAGTCCAGCTCCAGAGCATGTGAGCCCTGTTCTCCCCCCACCCCCGCTGCCTCCATGTATGGGGTCTCCTCCAGTCCCCACTAGTGGTACCCCCGCTGCTCCCTGTGCTCTTCCCCAGTTGGATCCTGCTCATTCTTTTCTGTTTCCTTTTTTATTTTCTTCTAAATTAGGGGCTTTTTGTTTGTTTGTTTGTTTTGCTGCATCTTTCTGCTAGGGGTTACTCCCGGCTCTCTGCTTAGGGATCATGATCGTGGGGTTTAGGGACCCCTGGGAAGTGCCAGGGATTGAATCTGGTTAACTGTGTGGGAATCAAACGCTCTCCCCGCTCCAGCTCTAGATCCTGCTCATCCTTTAAGATGCAGTCAGGTACAGCTTCGATTTCTCACACTGCCCATCTCTTTCATGGGAAAACATCAATTATAAAGTGCGTCATGTCAAGCTTTTGACGAGGGTCCAGTGTGGTGAAGCTCTGCTAACTTTTGCGTCAAAAGTGCACGTACCAGGACTGGTAGGGTGTTTGCCTTGCACATGGCCGACCTGGGTTGAATTCCCAGCATCCCCATATGGTCCCCCGAGCATCACCAGGAATGAGTGCATGAACCAGGAGTGACCCCTGTGCGTTGCCGGGTGTGACCCAAAAAGAAAAAAAAAGTGCACGTGCTGTCAAGAATTCCTTGTAGAGAAAAGAAGCCCCTGCTCTGACAGGCACCCTGTGCCCCGCCCACCCTAGACTGACACAGAATGGGCTGTGTTTGATGAATGACTGAGTGAGCACCTCCGCCCAAGCCAGCTCTTGGAGCTGGGGCTGGAGCTGGGGGCAGCCCCGGGGCACAGCAGGACGCCCTCTGCCCCCCTCCCTCAGCAGGACTCAGAATCCCACGCTGGCCTAGGTTTCTGGAGCAACCCCTACTTAAAAATTCCGCCTGATGAACCTGCCAGACCAGCAGCCTCGTGGGTTCTGAGAAATCGACCTTCCTGCTCCGGACCTGCCTGCAATCACCCGGGAACCCACACACTGCCCAACCCACAGCCCTGAAGCTGGGGCCTTTAAGAAAGTCCATCTCCAGGGCTCCAGGGGGGCCACTCCGGGATCTGTACCGGCCCTTCCTGACCCCTTGAAAAGAGCTCCCTGTCACTGGGTGCCAGGGAGGGGCTGATTTTTTTTGGCCAGTGCTGCCCTCTGGTGGTTGTGGGAAGGTCAAGCGTAAATTTGCTTGTTTGAATAAACAGTGCCCAGGCTGTGCCAGTCTCAGGAGTGCCAGGAGTGAGAGGAGTGGAAGCCCGTTTGCGCCCAGTTGGCAGACCCACAGACACATCACTGCCTGGCATGTCCCTCAGATGACTAATAGACTTCCCACGCCAGTCTCCTGTTCCCACCCCCCCAGCCTTGTCCAACCTGCTCCTTTCCGGCCACCCCAAACCTGGGCATCACCCTTGACTGCTCCCTCACTCCCCCGCCCTGCTCCCACGCACACGCATATCATTCAGCCTGTCCTGCCAGGCAGCTTCTGTGTCTGCCTCTAAAGGAGAGGGCTCAAAGGACTTGTGGGGATGAACCCCAAGTTCAATCCCTGGTGCCACACGGACCCTCATGAACACTGAGCTGGAAGGAGCCCCTGAGCGCCATGAGGCAGAATCCAAAAATAAAAACAGAACAAAGCGCATCCTCCAATTCTCCCACCGCATCCCTCTAACCCCGTCTGAGTCCCACCTTCGCCGCTTGCATCAGCCTCCTGATGGGGCTAATGCCTCTCCTGAGTCTTAGGCTAAATAGATCTCCCCTCCCCCACTTCTGCACTTACCCCACCCTTTCTCCCTGGACACTGTCTCCACACACTGCTGACTACTGCCTCCTCTGCCACAAGCCAAGATCAAGCCCACCTCTGAGGTCTCGATTCGTAGCTGTCCAGGCCCAGAGCCCAGTCCCCTTCAGAAGGGCTGGCTCCTTCTGCATCTGGGGTCTCGCCTCTGTCGTGGTGCCTGGATGCACAAATTTTGGCTGCAGAGAGAAACTGTGGTGCCCAGTGGGAAGCAGCCCCCCCCCCCCCCCCCCCGTGGTGTACATCTGATTAGCTGGCAGGAGTGACAGGGTAGTCGGTGTAATGGGGGTACTTAGAAGGTCCTGGGAGGGAAGGGTGATGGGGGCAGAGGCGGCAGGCAAGGTCTTGATGGTGACTGTGAGCATGTGCGTGTGAGAAGGAGACTGGGCGTGAGGACTGGCATTTGCTCTGCCCAGTCCCTCCCTCCCAGGCCTCCAGATGTCTCTCTCCATTCTGGACTACAGATCCGGGATGATGAGCCCGGGGTGTAGGAGGGGCAGACAAGAGCAACGAAGCTGCCTAGGGTGTGTGGGTGAGCGCGTGCGCGCGTGTGTTCGTGTGTGTGTGTGTGTGTGTGTGTGTATGTGTGTGTGTGCGCGCGCGCGCGCTGGGGTGGCCTGGGATGTGGGGCGTTATTCACTCACTCTGAAGATATTTGTGCGCTTGGGCAACATGCACGCACTAGTGACTCCTAAGGGAGTCAGCGCTGGAAGAGACAGTGCCATTAGGGCTAACTGCACCTACAAGGCGCTGTGGTCCTAGCGCCCCACGGTTACACGTCAATCCCGCCTCGTGCTTCCTCCCCGAGGGCGGAAAGCGGCCAGGCTACCCCCGCGGCTGCCCTGCTTCCAGACGCCGGACCTCTGCTCGCTGTTTCGGCGGCGGCTCCGCCTGCAGGCACGCGGGCCCCCTATTCCAGGCTAGCCTTCAAGAACCCTGGCCCCTCCCGGTTCGTTTTCCTGAAACAGCGCCTCTCCCGGGAGCCCTCCGGAAGGTCACGGTCCAGACACTGGCCTGGGCTGCGACCCGAGTCTCTCCGGGGCCCCAGAGGCGGAGCGGCCCCGCCCGCCCCTTTCTCCGCCCACATCCTAGCCACGGACCGGCCTCGCCCAATAGCCACGCCCACGGCCCCTTCTCAGGCCCTCCCACCCCGCCCTGCCACGCCCAACCCGTCTGGCCCAATAGCCGCGCGGACTTCTCCACTGTCTCCGCCTCTTTCCCCGCCCGCCCCTCCCAGACCCCGCCTCGCCCAATAGCCCCACCTCGGTCTCGCCCACTTTCTGGCCCCGCCCACAAAGTCCGCGTCCTATTTACGGCTCCGCCCCTTTCGCCTGTCTCCCACCCCTGTCTTCCGGTTCCGGCCTCGCGCCCCGCCCCCTGCAGCGACGGCGAGAAGGCCCCAGCACGCGTGAGCGCCGGCGGCAGCCGCTCGCCGGGCGCAGGAGACCCTTGCGCCGGCACCGCGCGTGTTGGTGCTTAGGCCCTCTTGGCCACCTGTGAGTGTCCGAGTCGCAGTCCCTATCGGCCCTGAGCGGCGGCCACTGGTACTTGGCGGGGACTAGGGAGGGTGTCAGGAGGCGAGACGCCTGGGCCCGTTGTCCGAGGACTAACGGAGACGTTTCTTGGCGTTCACTGTCCCCCTCCAGTGAGCACCGACCCTGGTCTTTTTCTTCATTCCTTTCTCTCCCCCTCTCGTCCCTTCTGTTTTAGCTTTGCCTTGTCGGGGTTCTTTTAAGCCTAGCCCACCGTCTTCTGCCGCTGCGCCTCCCCGGGAAGGGGCTGGTGGTGGCCGGCGACCTCCCCCACCCCCAGGCCGAGGCGCTGTTCCTGCCCAAACACGGGCGTTGGCGCTAAGAGGAGGCGCGAGGACTGGCTCCCCACGGGCTCTGCCCAGGACCGGCTCGGCACTAGCAGGCCCCCCCTACGCCCCCCGTGGATGGAGTGTTTGGTTCCTTGTGCCAAGCTCATGCTGACTTTCAACGGGACGGAGAGACGGTGCAGCGGGTAGGGCAAGGCGCTTGCCTTGCAGGCGCATCCCATAGGGC